AATTTCTAAAAACAACCGTCTTACACTTCACCTCTCTTTCTTATCATTCCTATAGTAATTGAAAAATTACCCTATGTGCATTTTAGATTATGTAAAAATGTGTTATATGTATGTTAGCCAAACCTGTTGCTGTCCTTAGCAGATAAACCAGGAAGAGCAAGGAGCTTATCTATGGAATTGTATGCAGCCTTCTGCGCTCACATGAGCTCCTCTGTGGCTGGCCTCACGGTGATACAAGCCGTGGTTGAGTGTGATTAAGACCCATATTTGTTTCAAAAACACAATTTATGAGCCATCCTCTCAACTGTAGACATGTGGATTGTAAAGGAAATATGTTTTACATCAGCCAATAATTGCTGAGAGGTTTTCTCATCCTCCCTTCTCTCATGACAACACGTTCATTGTGCGTCTTGAGTAACGCGCAGTAACGGGATGTCGGAAATGATAACGGCGTTATAGTTACTGTCAAAGTAATTAGTTAGATTACTCGTTACTGAAAAAAGTAACGCCGTTAGTAACGCTGTTATTCCCATCACTGGCTGCTACTGCTACTACTGCTACTACTGCTGCTGCTATTCTCTCTGATATGTCCCTGGTCTCCCTCTGATCTCCCTCTAGTCCCTGGTCTCCCTCTGGTCCCTCTCTGGTCTCTCTCTCTGGTCTCTCTCTGGTCTCTCTCTGGTCTCTCTCTGGTCTCTCTCTGGTGTCTCTCTGATCTCCTCCGGTCTCGTCCTGGTCTCAGGTTATGGAGCCACGGCTCACCTGGAGAGTGGGGGGTTTATCCGCAGTCGTCCTGGAGTCTCACATCCAGACATTCAGTTCCACTTCCTGCCGTCGCAGGTCATCGACCACGGGAGGAAGAACTCTGAGGTCGAGGCCTACCAGGTACACACACACACACACACACACACACACACGTCTGTCGCCCCCTGCAGGACACTGTCTGCTGTGGAGAGCAGCTTCAGTGACAGACTGATCCACCCTCTCTGTAAATAGTGTGATCATGTGCAACACACAGAATGTTACTGTATTTTATTATTATCCTGCCACAATTATATATATCTGTGTGTGCGTCTCTCTGTGTGCGTCTCTCTGTGTGTGCGTGTGCGTCTCTGTGTGTGTGTGTGCGTCTCTGTGTGTCTCTCTCTCTGTGTGTGTGTGTCTCTGTGTGTGTGTGTCTCTCTGTGTGTGTATGTCTGTGTTTGTGTGTGTCTCTCTGTGTGTGTGTGTCTGTGTGTGTGTGTGTGTTTCTCTGTGTGTGTGTGTCTGTGTGTGTGTGTGTCTGTGTGTGTGTGTCTCTGTGTGTGTGTGTGTCTGTGTGTGTGTCTCTCTGTGTGTGTGTGTCAGGTCCATGTGGGGCCCATGCGCAGCACTAGTGTGGGTTGGATGAAGCTGAAGAGCCCTGATCCTCTGGAGCATCCCATCCTGCAGCCCAACTACCTCTCCACTGGTACGCACTCCACTGGTTCTTCTCTCCTTCCTGGTCTCTCTCTGGTCTCTCTCTGGTCTCTCTCTGGTCTCTCTCTGGTCTCTCTCTGGTCTCTCTCTGGTCTCTCTCTGGTCTCTCTCTGGTCTCTCTCTGGTCTCTCCCTGGTCTCTCTCTGGTCTCTCTCTGGTCTCTCTCTGGTCTCTCTCTGGTCTCTCTCTGGTCTCTCTCTGGTCTCTCTCTGGTCTCTCTCTGCTCCTCCTGGTCTCAGTCTTCCTGGTCTCTCTCTGCTCCTCCTGGTCTCAGTCTTCCTGGTCTCTCTGTGCTCCTCCTGGTCTCAGTCTTCCTGGTCTCTCTGTGCTCCTCCTGGTCTCTGTCTTCCTGGTCTCTCTGTGCTCCTCCTGGTCTCAGTCTTCCTGGTCTCTCTGTGCTCCTCCTGGTCTCAGTCTTCCTGGTCTCTCTGTGCTCCTCCTGGTCTCAGTCTTCCTGGTCTCTCTGTGCTCCTCCTGGTCTCAGTCTTCCTGGTCTCTCTGTGCTCCTCCTGGTCTCAGTCTTCCTGGTCTCTCTGTGCTCCTCCTGGTCTCAGTCTTCCTGGTCTCTCTGTGCTCCTCCTGGTCTCAGTCTTCCTGGTCTCTCTGTGCTCCTACTGGTCTCAGTCTTCCTGGTCTCTCTGTGCTCCTCCTGGTCTCAGTCTTCCTGGTCTCTCTGTGCTCCTCCTGGTCTCAGTCTTCCTGGTCTCTCTCTGCTCCTCCTGGTCTCAGTCTTCCTGGTCTCTCTGTGCTCCTCCTGGTCTCAGTCTTCCTGGTCTCTCTGTGCTCCTCCTGGTCTCAGTCTTCCTGGTCTCTCTGTGCTCCTCCTGGTCTCAGTCTTCCTGGTCTCTCTGTGCTCCTCCTGGTCTCAGTCTTCCTGGTCTCTCTCTGCTCCTCCTGGTCTCAGTCTTCCTGGTCTCTCTGTGCTCCTCCTGGTCTCAGTCTTCCTGGTCTCTCTGTGCTCCTCCTGGTCTCAGTCTTCCTGGTCTCTCTGTGCTCCTACTGGTCTCAGTCTTCCTGGTCTATCTCTGCTCCTCCTGGTCTCAGTCTTCCTGGTCTCTCTGTGCTCTTCCTGGTCTCAGTCTTCCTGGTCTCAGTCTTCCTGGTCTATCTCTGCTCCTCCTGGTCTCAGTCTTCCTGGTCTCTCTGTGCTCCTCCTGGTCTCAGTCTTCCTGGTCTCTCTGTGCTCCTCCTGGTCTCAGTCTTCCTGGTCTCTCTCTGCTCCTCCTGGTCTCAGTCTTCCTGGTCTATCTCTGCTCCTCCTGGTCTCAGTCTTCCTGGTCTCAGTCTTCCTGGTCTATCTCTGCTCCTCCTGGTCTCAGTCTTCCTGGTCTATCTCTGCTCCTCCTGGTCTCAGTCTTCCTGGTCTCTCTGTGCTCTTCCTGGTCTCAGTCTTCCTGGTCTCAGTCTTCCTGGTCTCAGTCTTCCTGGTCTATCTCTGCTCCTCCTGGTCTCAGTCTTCCTGGTCTCTCTGTGCTCCTCCTGGTCTCAGTCTTCCTGGTCTCTCTGTGCTCCTCCTGGTCTCAGTCTTCCTGGTCTCTCTGTGCTCCTCCTGGTCTCAGTCTTCCTGGTCTCTCTGTGCTCTTCCTGGTCTCTCTGTGCTCCTCCTGGTCTCAGTCTTCCTGGTCTCAGTCTTCCTGGTCTATCTCTGCTCCTCCTGGTCTCAGTCTTCCTGGTCTATCTCTGCTCCTCCTGGTCTCAGTCTTCCTGGTCTCTCTGTGCTCCTCCTGGTCTCAGTCTTCCTGGTCTCTCTGTGCTCCTCCTGGTCTCAGTCTTCCTGGTCTCTCTCTGCTCCTCCTGGTCTCAGTCTTCCTCGTCTCTCTGTGCTCCTCCTAGTCTCAGTCTTCCTGGTCTCTCTGTGCTCCTCCTGGTCTCAGTCTTCCTGGTCTCTCTGTGCTCCTCCTGGTCTCAGTCTTCCTGGTCTCTCTGTGCTCCTCCTGGTCTCAGTCTTCCTGGTCTCTCTCTGCTCCTCCTGGTCTCAGTCTTCCTGGTCTATCTCTGCTCCTCCTGGTCTCAGTCTTCCTGGTCTATCTCTGCTCCTCCTGGTCTCAGTCTTCCTGGTCTCTCTGTGCTCCTCCTGGTTTCAGTCTTCCTGGTCTCTCTGTGCTCCTCCTGGTCTCAGTCTTCCTGGTCTCTCTGTGCTCCTCCTGGTCTCAGTCTTCCTGGTCTCTCTCTGCTCCTCCTGGTCTCAGTCTTCCTGGTCTCTCTCTGCTCCTCCTGGTCTCAGTCTTCCTGGTCTCTCTGTGCTCCTCCTGGTCTCAGTCTTCCTGGTCTCTCTCTGCTCCTCCTGGTCTCAGTCTTCCTGGTCTCTCTCTGCTCCTCCTGGTCTCAGTCTTCCTGGTCTCTCTCTGCTCCTCCTGGTCTCAGTCTTCCTGGTCTCTCTCTGCTCCTCCTGGTCTCAGTCTTCCTGGTCTATCTCTGCTCCTCCTGGTCTCAGTCTTCCTGGTCTCTCTGTGCTCCTCCTGGTCTCAGTCTTCCTGGTCTCTCTCTGCTCCTCCTGGTCTCAGTCTTCCTGGTCTCTCTGTGCTCCTCCTGGTCTCAGTCTTCCTGGTCTCTCTGTGCTCCTCCTGGTCTCAGTCTTCCTGGTCTCTCTCTGCTCCTCCTGGTCTCAGTCTTCCTGGTCTCTCTCTGCTCCTCCTGGTCTCAGTCTTCCTGGTCTCTCTCTGCTCCTCCTGGTCTCAGTCTTCCTGGTCTATCTCTGCTCCTCCTGGTCTCAGTCTTCCTGGTCTCTCTGTGCTCCTCCTGGTTTCAGTCTTCCTGGTCTCTCTGTGCTCCTCCTGGTCTCAGTCTTCCTGGTCTCTCTCTGCTCCTCCTGGTCTCAGTCTTCCTGGTCTCTCTGTGCTCCTCCTGGTCTCAGTCTTCCTGGTCTCTCTGTGCTCCTCCTGGTCTCAGTCTTCCTGGTCTCTCTCTGCTCCTCCTGGTCTCAGTCTTCCTGGTCTCTCTCTGCTCCTCCTGGTCTCAGTCTTCCTGGTCTCTCTCTGCTCCTCCTGGTCTCAGTCTTCCTGGTCTCTCTCTGCTCCTCCTGGTCTCAGTCTTCCTGGTCTCTCTCTGCTCCTCCTGGTCTCAGTCTTCCTGGTCTCTCTGCTCCTCCTGGTCTCTCTCTGCTCCTCCTGGTCTCTCTCTGCTCCTCCTGGTCTCAGTCTTCCTGGTCTCTCTCTGCTCCTCCTGGTCTCAGTCTTCTTGGTTTCTCCCTCTCTGCTCTTCCTTCTCTTTCTCTGGTCTTCCTGGTCTCAGTCTCTCTGCCTGGTCTTCCTCATCCCTGGTCTCAGTCTCTCTCTGGTCTTCCTGGTCTCAGTCTCTCTGCCTGGTCTTCTTCATCCCTGGTCTCAGTCTCTCTCTGGTCTTCCTGGTCTCAGTCTCTCTGCCTGGTCTTCTTCATCCCTGGTCTCAGTCTCTCTCTGGTCTTCCTGGTCCCTGCTACTCCTGGTCTCAGTCTCTCTCTGGTCTTCCTGGTCCCTGCTTCTCCTGGTCTCAGTCTCTCTCTGGTCTTCCTGGTCCCTGCTTCTCCTGGTCTCAGTCTCTCTCTGGTCTTCCTGGTCCCTGCTTCTCCTGGTCTCAGTCTCTCTCTGGTCTTCCTAGTCCCTGGTCATCCTGGTCTCTCTCTGCAGACATAGACGTGTAGGAGTTCAATCTCTCTTTCTGCTCTTCTTGGTCTCAGTCTTCCTGGTCTCTCTCTCTGCTCTTCCTGGTCCCTGCTCCTCCTGGTCTCTCTGTCTACAGACTTAGACATGTGGGAGTTCAGTTTCTCTCTCTGCTCCTCCTGGTCCCTGCTCCTCCTGATCCCTGCTCCTCCTGGTCTCTCTGTCTACAGACATAGACGTGTGGGAGTTCAGTTTCTCTCTCTGCTCCTCCTGGTCCCTGCTCCTCCTGATCCCTGCTCCTCCTGATCCCTGCTCCTCCTGGTCTCTCTGTCTACAGACATAGACATGTGGGAGTTCAGTTTCTCCCTCTGCTCCTCCTGGTCTCTCTGCTCCTCCTGATCCCTGCTCTTCCTGGTCCCTGCTCCTCCTGGTCCCTGCTCCTCCTGGTCCCTGCTCCTCCTGGTCTCTCTGTCTGTAGACATAGACATGTGGGAGTTCAGTTTCTCCCTCTGCTCCTCCTGGTCTCTGCTCCTCCTGATCCCTGCTCCTCCTGGTCTCTCTGCTCCTCCTGATCCCTGCTTCTCCTGGTCTCTGCTCCTCCTGATCCCTGCTCCTCCTGGTCTCTCTCTCTGCAGACTTAGACATGTGGGAGTTCAGTTTCTCTCTCTGCTCCTCTTGGTTTCTCTCTGCTCCTCCTGGTCTCTCTCTGCTCCTCCTGGTCTCTCTGCTCCTGCTGATCCCTGCTCCTCCTGGTCTCTCTGCTCCTCCTGGTCTCTCTGCTCCTCCTGGTCTCTCTGCTCCTGCTGATCCCTGCTCCTCCTGGTCTCTCTGCTCCTGCTGATCCCTGCTCCTCCTGGTCTCTCTGCTCCTGCTGATCCCTGCTCCTCCTGGTCTCTCTCTGCTCCTCCTGGTCTCTCTGCTCCTGCTGATCCCTGCTCCTCCTGGTCTCTCTGCTCCTGCTGATCCCTGCTCCTCCTGGTCTCTCTGCTCCTGCTGATCCCTGCTCCTCCTGGTCTCTCTGCTCCTCCTGGTCCCTGCTCCTGCTGATCCCTGCTCCTCCTGGTCTCTCTGCTCCTGCTGATCCCTGCTCCTCCTGGTCTCTCTGCTCCTGCTGATCCCTGCTCCTCCTGGTCTCTCTCTGCTCCTCCTGGTCTCTCTGCTCCTGCTGATCCCTGCTCCTCCTGGTCTCTCTGCTCCTCCTGGTCCCTGCTCCTGCTGATCCCTGCTCCTCCTGGTCTCTCTGCTCCTGCTGATCCCTGCTCCTCCTGGTCTCTCTGCTCCTGCTGATCCCTGCTCCTCCTGGTCTCTCTCTGCTCCTCCTGGTCTCTCTGCTCCTGCTGATCCCTGCTCCTCCTGGTCTCTCTGCTCCTCCTGGTCCCTGCTCCTGCTGATCCCTGCTCCTCCTGGTCTCTCTGCTCCTCCTGGTCTCTCTGCTCCTCCTGGTCCCTGCTCCTCCTGGTCTCTCTCTGCTCCTCCTGGTCTCTCTGCTCCTCCTGGTCTCTCTGCTCCTCCTGGTCTCTCTCTGCTCCTCCTGGTCTCTCTGCTCCTGCTGATCCCTGCTCCTCCTGGTCTCTCTGCTCCTGCTGATCCCTGCTCCTCCTGGTCTCTCTCTGCTCCTCCTGGTCTCTCTGCTCCTCCTGGTCTCTCTGCTCCTCCTGGTCTCTCTCTGCTCCTCCTGGTCTCTCTGCTCCTCCTGGTCCCTGCTCCTCCTGGTCTCTCTCTGCTCCTCCTGGTCTCTCTGCTCCTGCTGATCCCTGCTCCTCCTGGTCTCTCTGCTCCTCCTGGTCCCTGCTCCTCCTGGTCTCTCTCTGCTCCTCCTGGTCTCTCTGCTCCTGCTGATCCCTGCTCCTCCTGGTCTCTCTGCTCCTGCTGATCCCTGCTCCTCCTGGTCTCTCTGCTCCTCCTGGTCCCTGCTCCTCCTGGTCTCTCTCTGCTCCTCCTGGTCTCTCTGCTCCTGCTGATCCCTGCTCCTCCTGGTCTCTCTGCTCCTGCTGATCCCTGCTCCTCCTGGTCTCTCTCTGCTCCTCCTGGTCTCTCTGCTCCTGCTGATCCCTGCTCCTCCTGGTCTCTCTGCTCCTCCTGGTCTCTCTGCTCCTGCTGATCCCTGCTCCTCCTGGTCTCTCTGCAGACATAGACGTGTGGGAGTTCCGAGAGTCGGTGAAACTGTCTCGGGAGATCTTCGCTCAGAAAGCCTTCGATGCCTTCAGGGGGGCGGAGCTTCAGCCCGGTCCTTCCGTCCAATCAGACGCAGAGATCGATGCGTTTGTGCGGCGGCGTGCGGACAGTGCGTACCACCCGTCCTGCACGTGCCGCATGGGCGCCGAGAGCGACCCCCGTGCCGTGGTGGACGCCAACGGCCGCGTGCTGGGGCTGGACGCTCTGCGGGTCGTGGACGCCTCCATCATGCCCAGCATCGTCAGCGGCAACCTGAACGCTCCCACCATCATGATGGCGGAGAAGCTCAGTGACATCATCAGAGGGCGCCCGCCACTGGTGGACCACGGCGTTCCAGTGTACAAACCGCTAACGCTGCAGACGCAGAGATGAGGAGCTACAAGCGCTATCAGACTGTACAGAGGGACCATGCTAACCCACTAGCTCAAGGCTAATCTGCTAGATCAATGCTAGTCTGGTAGCTCAATGCTAATATGCTAGATCAATGCTAGTCTGATAGCTCAATGCTAATATGCTAGATCAATGCTAGTCTGATAGCTCAATGCTAATATGCTAGATCGATGCTAGTCTGATAGCTCAATGCTAATATGCTAGATCAATGCTAATATGCTAGATTAATGCTAGTCTGATAGCTCAATGCTAATATGCTAGATCAATGCTAACCCGCTTACTCAATACTAACCTGCTATCTGATTGGCTCAACGCAAACTTGCGAGCCTAATGCTTATTGGCTAGCTCCATGCTAACCCGCTAGCTCAATGGACTGACATGTGATTTTGCACAGATTTTAGCAAATGAAGTAAACCTGAACTTTAAGATTCACCGACAGTATTTACTTTTATTCATCAGTTATTCATCAGTTATTCATCAGTTATTCGTCAGTTATTCATCAGTTATTCATCAGTTATTCATCAGTTATTGACGTTGATTTTGTGGCGAGTGAGAGGACGAGAGGGCAGAGCTCAGAGCCATACGGACGGACTGAACGATCAATGAGATTTACAATGTCCTGCACTAACATGTATATAATAATGACCAGCAGGGGGCGCCACGCACCAGCAGTGTTTACATGAAGGACGTTTATTCTTCAGTTTGATTCTTACAGATTCTGCTTCAAACTGGTTTTATATAAATAAATATGATTCATCTCAAGTCTGAGTTTTATGCTTTTGAAGTAGAGACCAGAGAGAGACCAGAGAGAGACCAGAGAGAGACCAGAGAGAGAGACCAGAGAGAGACCAGAGAGAGACCAGAGAGAGACCAGAGAGAGACCAGAGAGAGACCAGAGAGAGACCAGAGAGACCAGAGAGAGACCAGAGAGAGACCAGAGAGGGACCAGAGAGAGACCAGAGAGAGACCAGAGAGAGACCAGAGAGAGACCAGAGAGAGACCAGAGAGAGACCAGAGAGGGACCAGAGAGAGACCAGAGAGAGACCAGAGAGAGACCAGAGAGAGACCAGAGAGAGACCAGAGAGAGACCAGAGAGAGACCAGAGAGGGACCAGGGAGAGACCAGAGAGAGACCAGAGAGAGAGACCAGAGAGAGAGACCAGAGAGGGACCAGAGAGAGACCAGAGAGAGACCAGAGAGAGACCAGAGAGAGACCAGAGAGGGACCAGGGAGAGACCAGAGAGAGACCAGAGAGAGAGACCAGAGAGAGAGACCAGAGAGAGAGACCAGAGAGGGACCAGAGAGAGACCAGAGAGAGACCAGAGAGACCAGAGAGACCAGAGAGAGACCAGAGAGAGACCAGAGAGAGACCAGAGAGGGACCAGAGAGAGACCAGAGGGAGACCAGAGAGAGACCAGTGAGAGACCAGTGAGAGACCAGAGAGAGACCAGAGAGAGACCAGAGAGAGACCAGAGAGAGACCAGAGAGGGACCAGAGAGAGACCAGAGAGAGACCAGAGAGAGACCAGAGAGAGACCAGAGAGGGACCAGGGAGAGAGACCAGAGAGAGACCAGAGAGAGAGACCAGAGAGAGACCAGAGAGAGAGACCAGAGAGAGAGACCAGAGAGGGACCAGAGAGAGACCAGAGAGAGACCAGTGAGAGACCAGAGAGAGACCAGAGAGAGACCAGAGAGAGAGATCAGAGAGACCAGAGAGAGACCAGAGGGAGACCAGAGAGGGACCAGAGAGAGACCAGAGAGAGACCAGAGAGAGACCAGAGAGAGACCAGAGAGGGACCAGAAAGAGACCAGAGGGAGACCAGAGAGAGACCAGTGAGAGACCAGAGAGAGACCAGAGAGAGACCAGAGAGAGACCAGAGAGGGACCAGGGAGAGACCAGAGAGAGACCAGAGAGAGAGACCAGAGAGAGACCAGAGAGAGACCAGTGAGAGACCAGAGAGAGACCAAAGAGAGACCAGAGAGAGAGACCAGAGAGGGACCAGAGAGAGACCAGAGTGAGACCAGAGAGAGACCAGTGAGAGACCAGTGAGAGACCAGAGAGAGACCAGAGAGAGAGAGAGACCAGAGAGAGACCAGAGAGAGACCAGAGAGAGACCAGAGAGAGACCAGAGAGGGACCAGGGAGAGACCAGAGAGAGACCAGAGAGAGAGACCAGAGAGAGAGACCAGAGAGAGACCAGAGAGAGAGACCAGAGAGGGACCAGAGAGAGACCAGAGAGAGACCAGTGAGAGACCAGAGAGAGACCAGAGAGAGACCAGAGAGAGAGATCAGAGAGAGACCAGAGAGAGACCAGAGGGAGACCAGAGAGGGACCAGAGAGAGACCAGTGAGAGACCAGAGAGAGACCAGAGAGAGACCAGAGAGAGACCAGAGAGAGACCAGAGAGGGACCAGAGAGAGACCAGAGAGAGACCAGAGAGAGACCAGTGAGAGACCAGTGAGAGACCAGAGAGGGACCAGAGAGAGACGAGAGAGAGACCAGTGAGAGACCAGAGAGAGACCAGAGAGAGACGAGAGAGAGACCCAGAGAGAGACCAGAGAGAGACCAGAGAGAGACCAGAGAGGGACCAGAGAGAGACCAGAGGGAGACCAGAGAGAGACCAGAGAGGGACCAGAGAGAGACCAGAGAGAGACCAGTGAGAGACCAGAGAGAGACCAGAGAGAGACGAGAGAGAGACCAGAGAGAGACCAGAGAGAGACCAGAGAGAGACCAGAGAGGGACCAGAGAGAGACCAGAGGGAGACCAGAGAGAGACCAGTGAGAGACCAGTGAGAGACCAGAGAGAGACCAGAGAGAGACCAGAGAGAGACCAGTGAGAGACCAGAGAGAGACCAGAGAGAGACCAGAGAGAGACCAGAGAGAGAGACCAGAGAGACCAGAGAGAGACCAGAGAGAGACCAGAGAGAGACCAGAGAGAGACCAGAGAGAGACCAGAGAGAGACCAGAGGGAGACCAGAGAGAGAGACCAGAGAGAGACCAGAGAGAGACCAGAGAGGGACCAGAGAGAGACCAGAGGGAGACCAGAGAGGGACCAGAGAGAGACCAGAGAGAGACCAGAGAGAGACCAGAGAGAGACCAGAGGGAGACCAGAGAGAGACCAGAGAGAGACCAGAGAGAGACCAGAGAGAGACCAGAGAGGGACCAGAGAGAGACCAGAGAGAGACCAGAGAGAGACCAGAGAGAGACCAGAGAGAGACGAGAGAGAGACCAGAGAGAGACCAGAGAGAGACCAGAGAGAGACCAGAGAGGGACCAGAGAGAGACCAGAGGGAGACCAGAGAGAGACCAGTGAGAGACCAGTGAGAGACCAGAGAGAGACCAGAGAGAGACCAGAGAGAGACCAGTGAGAGACCAGAGAGAGACCAGAGAGAGACCAGAGAGAGACCAGAGAGAGACCAGAGAGACCAGAGAGAGACCAGAGAGAGACCAGAGAGAGACCAGAGAGAGACCAGAGAGGGACCAGAGAGAGACCAGAGGGAGACCAGAGAGAGAGACCAGAGAGAGACCAGAGAGAGACCAGAGAGAGACCAGAGAGAGACCAGAGAGAGACCAGAGAGAGACCAGAGAGAGACCAGAGAGAGACCAGAGAGAGACCAGAGAGAGGCCAGAGAGAGGCCAGAGAGACCAGAGAGAGAGACCAGAGAGAGACCAGAGAGAGACCAGAGAGAGACCAGAGAGAGACCAGAGAGAGACCAGAGAGAGGCCAGAGAGACCAGAGAGAGACCAGAGAGAGACCAGAGAGAGAGACCAGAGAGAGACCAGAGAGAGAGACCAGAGAGAGACCAGAGAGAGAGCAGAGAGAGAGAGACCAGAGGGAGACCAGAGGGAGACCAGAGAGAGACCAGAGAGAGACCAGAGAGAGAGAGAGAGAGAGCAGAGAGAGACCAGAGGGAGACCAGAGAGAGACCAGAGAGAGACCAGAGAGAGACCAGAGGGAGACTAGAGAGACCAGAGAGAGAGCAGAGAGAGACCAGAGAGAGGCCAGAGAGAGACCAGAGAGAGACACGAGAGAGACCAGAGAGAGAGACCAGTGAGAGAGACCAGAGAGAAAGACCAGAGAGAGGCCAGAGAGAGAGCAGAAAGAGACCAGAGAGAGAGACCAGAGACTAGAGAGAGACCAGAGAGAGAGACCAGAGAGAGACCAGAGAGAGACCAGAGAGAGAGACCAGAGACTAGAGAGAGACCAGAGAGAGACCAGAGAGAGACCAGAGAGAGACCAGAGAGAGAGACCAGAGACTAGAGAGAGACCAGAGAGAGACCAGAGAGAGAGCAGAAAGAGACCAGAGAGAGAGACCAGAGAGAGACCAGAGAGAGAGACCAGAGAGAGGCCAGAGAGAGAGCAGAAAGAGACCAGAGAGAGAGACCAGAGAGAAAGACCAGAGAGAGCATGTTGTGATCTGCAGTCTTACTGATGAAACAGAAAGTCAGGTCCCTGAGCTTTAACACAGATGTTCATAGCCGCTGGATCTTATCACAAAAGAACAACTGCAGAAGCAAGATTAGAGTCTGGGGAAGAGAGCGCTCGTTTACCGCTTACCATGTGAAGGAGGAAGGAAGCCACATGGTTTTACTGAGGTAGATTTAAAGCTGGGGGATGTAACTTTAGTGTAAGTTGTAACCCATCAATGACATGAGGTTTGTCCTAACGTTCTGTCTCCATCTCATCAGGAAAAAAATATATTTTGGCTCACTATTTGAAAGCTGATTGGCTGGTTCTCGGTCTCTCTCTCTGGTCTCTCTCTCTGGTCTCTCACTGGTCTCTCTCTCTGGCCTCTCTCTGCTGTCTCTCTGGTCCGTCTCTCTCTGGTGTCTCTATGGTCTCTCTGGTCTCTCTCTAGTCTCTGGTCTCTCTCTGGTCTCTCTCTAGTCTCTGGTCTCTCTCTCTGGTCTCTCTCTGGTCTCTCTCTCTCTGGTCTCTCTCTAGTCTCTGGTCTCTCTCTAGTCTCTGGTCTCTCTCTGGTCTCTCTCTCTGGTCTCTCTCTAGTCTCTGGTCTCTCTCTGGTCTCTCTCTAGTCACTGGTCTCTCTCTGGTCTCTTTCTCTGGTCTCTCTCTGGTCTCTCTCTCTGGTCTCTCTCTGGTCTCTCTCTCTGGTCTCTCTCTGGTCTCTCTCTGGTCTCTCTCTGGTCTCTCTCTCTGGTCTCTCTCTAGTCTCTGGTCTCTCTCTCTGGTCTCTCTCTAGTCTCTGGTCTCTCTCTCTGGTCTCTCTCTAGTCTCTGGTCTCTCTCTGTTCTCTCTCTCTGGTCCCTCTCTCTGGTCCCTCTCTAGTCTCTCTCTCTGTATTCTTGATGTGATCCTTGTGTGACAGTGCATGAGGACTTCTCTACTGGACCATGCTGCTCTCTCTGGTCTCTCTCTGGTCTCTCTCTGGTCTCTCTCTCTGGTCTCTCTCTAGTCTCTGGTCTCTCTCTGGTCTCTCTCTCTGGTCTCTCTCTGGTCTCTCTCTAGTCTCTGGTCTCTCTCTCTGGTCTCTCTCTGGTCTCTCTCTGGTCTCTCTCTCTGGTCTCTCTCTAGTCTCTGGTCTCTCTCTCTGGTCTCTCTCTGGTCTCTCTCTGGTCTCTCTCTCTGGTCTCTCTCTGGTCTCTCTCTGGTCTCTCTCTCTGGTCTCTCTCTAGTCTCTGGTCTCTCTCTCTGGTCTCTCTCTGGTCTCTCTCTGGTCTCTCTCTGGTCTCTCTCTCTGGTCTCTCTCTGGTCTCTCTCTGGTCTCTCTCTCTGGTCTCTCTCTAGTCTCTGGTCTCTCTCTCTGGTCTCTCTCTGGTCTCTCTCTCTGGTCTCTCTCTCTGGTCTCTCTCTGGTCTCTCTCTCTGGTCTCTCTCTCTGGTCTCTCTCGCTGTATTCTTGATGTGATCCTTGTGTGACAGTGCATGAGGACTTCTCTACTGGACCATGCTGCTCTCTCTGGTCTCTCTCTCTGGTCTCTCTCTGGTCTCTCTCTGGTCTCTCTCTCTGGTCTCTCTCTAGTCTCTGGTCTCTCTCTCTGGTCTCTCTCTGGTCTCTCTCTGGTCTCTCTCTAGTCTCTGGTCTCTCTCTCTGGTCTCTCTCTGGTCTCTCTCTCTGGTCTCTCTCTAGTCTCTGGTCTCTCTCTCTGGTCTCTCTCTGGTCTCTCTCTCTGGTCTCTCTCTCTGGTCTCTCTCTGGTCTCTCTCTCTGGTCTCTCTCTCTGGTCTCTCTCGCTGTATTCTTGATGTGATCCTTGTGTGTGACAGTGCATGAGGACTTCTCTACTGGACCATGCTGCTCTCTCTGGCCTCTCTCTGGTCTCTCTCTCTGGTCTCTCTCTAGTCTCTGGTCTCTCTCTGGTCTCTCTCTCTGGTCTCTCTCTAGTCTCTGGTCTCTCTCTCTGGTCTCTCTCTAGTCTCTGGTCTCTCTCTGGTCTCTCTCTCTGGTCTCTCTCTGGTCTCTCTCTAGTCTCTGGTCTCTCTCTGGTCTCTCTCTCTGGTCTCTCTCTGGTCTCTCTCTAGTCTCTGGTCTCTCTCTGGTCTCTCTCTCTGGTCTCTCTCTGGTCTCTCTCTGGTCTCTCTCTCTGGTCTCTCTCTCTGGTCTCTCTCTGGTCTCTCTCTAGTCTCTGGTCTCTCTCTGGTCTCTCTCTCTGGTCTCTCTCTGGTCTCTCTCTGGTCTCTCTCTGGTCTCTCTCTCTGGTCTCTCTCTGGTCTCTCTCTAGTCTCTGGTCTCTCTCTGGTCTCTCTCTCTGGTCTCTCTCTGGTCTCTCTCTAGTCTCTGGTCTCTCTCTGGTCTCTCTCTCTGGTCTCTCTCTGGTCTCTCTCTAGTCTCTGGTCTCTCTCTGGTCTCTCTCTCTGGTCTCTCTCTGGTCTCTCTCTGTTCTCTCTCTCTGGTCTCTCTCTCTGGTCCCTCTCTAGTCTCTCTCTCTGTATTCTTGATGTGATCCTTGTGTGACAGTGCATGAGGACTTCTCTACTGGACCATGCTGCTCTCTCTGGTCTCTCTCTCTGGTCTCTCTCTGGTCTCTCTCTGGTCTCTCTCTCTGGTCTCTCTCTAGTCTCTGGTCTCTCTCTCTGGTCTCTCTCTGGTCTCTCTCTGGTCTCTCTCTGGTCTCTCTCTAGTCTCTGGTCTCTCTCTCTGGTCTCTCTCTGGTCTCTCTCTCTGGTCTCTCTCTAGTCTCTGGTCTCTCTCTGGTCTCTCTCTGGTCTCTCTCTCTGGTCTCTCTCTCTGGTCTCTCTCTGGTCTCTCTGGTCTCTCTCTCTGGTCTCTCTCTGGTCTCTCTCTCTGGTCTCTCTCTCTGGTCTCTCTCTCTGGTCTCTCTCTGGTCTCTCTGGTCTCTCTCTCTGGTCTCTCTCTGGTCTCTCTCTGGTCTCTCTCTCTGGTCTCTCTCTGGTCTCTCTGGTCTCTCTCTCTGGTCTCTCTCTGGTCTCTCTCTGGTCTCTCTCTCTGGTCTCTCTCTCTGGTCTCTCTCTCTGGTCTCTCTCTCTGGTCTCTCTCTGGTCTCTCTGGTCTCTCTCTCTGGTCTCTCTCTGGTCTCTCTCTCTGGTCTCTCTCTCTGGTCTCTCTCTCTGGTCTCTCTCTGGTCTCTCTGGTCTCTCTCTCTGGTCTCTCTCTGGTCTCTCTCTGGTCTCTCTCTCTGGTCTCTCTCTGGTCTCTCTGGTCTCTCTCTCTGGTCTCTCTCTGGTCTCTCTCTGGTCTCTCTCTCTGGTCTCTCTCTGGTCTCTCTCTAGTCTCTGGTCTCTCTCTCTGGTCTCTCTCTGGTCTCTCTCTCTGGTCTCTCTCTCTGGTCTCTCTCTCTGGTCTCTCTCTGGTCTCTCTGGTCTCTCTCTCTGGTCTCTCTCTGGTCTCTCTCTCTGGTCTCTCTCTCTGGTCTCTCTCTCTGGTCTCTCTCTGGTCTCTCTGGTCTCTCTCTCTGGTCTCTCTCTGGTCTCTCTCTGGTCTCTCTCTCTGGTCTCTCTCTAGTCTCTGGTCTCTCTCTCTGGTCTCTCTCTGGTCTCTCTCTCTGGTCTCTCTCTCTGGTCTCTCTCTGGTCTCTCTGGTCTCTCTCTCTGGTCTCTCTCTGGTCTCTCTCTGGTCTCTCTCTCTGGTCTCTCTCTCTGGTCTCTCTCGCTGTATTCTTGATGTGATCCTTGTGTGTGACAGTGCATGAGGACTTCTCTACTGGACCATGCTGCTCTCTCTGGCCTCTCGTTGGACTCGGGCCTCGGTCTGGACTCGGGCCTCGGTCTGGACTCGGGCCTCGGTCTGGACTCGGGCCTCGGTCTGGACTCGGGCCTCGGTCCTGGCCTCCTCCTACAGCTCGACCTCGGGGCCCTCGTACAGCTACGTGGTGGTGGGGGCGGGGTCTGCAGGCTGTGTCCTGGGCAGCCGTCTGTCTGAGGACCCCCATGAGTCTGTGCTGCTGCTGGAGGCCGGACCCAAAGACCTCCTGCTGGGAAGTGTGCGCCTGTCCTGGAAGATCCACATGCCCGCCGCCCTCACCTACAACCTCTGTGACGACAGGTAGTATACAGATGCTATACAGGTGCTATACAGCCGCCCTCACCTACAACCTCTGTGACGACAGGTAGTATACAGGTGCTATACAGGTGCTATACAGCCGCCCTCACCTACAACCTCTGTGACGACAGGTAGTATACAGGTGCTATACAGGTGCTATACAGCCACCCTCACCTACAACCTCTGTGACGACAGGTAGTATACAGGTGCTATACAGGTGCTATACAGCCGCCCTCACCTACAACCTGTGTGACGATAGGTAGTATACAGGTGCTATACAGGTGCTATACCGCCGCCCTCACCTACAACCTCTGTGACGACAGGTAGTATACAGGTGCTATACAGGTGCTATACAGCCGCCCTCACCTACAACCTCTGTGACGACAGGTAGTATACAGGTGCTATACAGCCGCCCTAACCTACAACCTCTGTGACGACAGGTAGTATACAGGTGCTATACCGCCGCCCTCACCTACAACCTCTGTGACGACAGGTAGTATACAGGTGCTATACAGGTGCTATACCGCCGCCCTCACCTACAACCTCTGTGACGACAGGTAGTATACAGGTGCTATACAGCCGCCCTCACCTACAACCTCTGTGACGACAGGTAGTATACAGGTGCTATACAGGTGCTATACAGCCGCCCTCACCTACAACCTCTGTGACGACAGGTAGTATACAGGTGCTATACAGGTGCTATACAGCCGCCCTCACCTACAACCTCTGTGACGACAGGTAGTATACAGGTGCTATACAGGTGCTATACAGCCGCCCTCACCTACAACCTCTGTGACGACAGGTAGTATACAGGTGCTATACAGCCGCCCTCACCTACAACCTCTGTGACGACAGGTAGTATACAGGTGCTATACAGGTGCTATACAGCCGCCCTAACCTACAACCTCTGTGACGACAGGTAGTATACAGGTGCTATACAGGTGCTATACAGCCGCCCTCACCTACAACCTCTGTGACGACAGGTAGTATACAGGTGCTATACAGCCGCCCTCACCTACAACCTCTGTGACGACAGGTAGTATACAGGTGCTATACAGCCGCCCTAACCTACAACCTCTGTGACGACAGGTAGTATACAGGTGCTATACAGCTGCCCTAACCTACAACCTCTGTGACGACAGGTAGTATACAGGTGCTATACAGCCGCCCTAACCTACAACCTCTGTGACGATAGGTAGTATACAGGTGCCCTCACCTACAACCTCCGTGACGACAGGTGCTATACAGGTGCTACACAGCCGCCCTCACCTACAACCTGTGTGACGACAGGTACTACACAGGTGCTATACAGCCGCCCTCACCTACAACCTCTGTGACGACAGGTAGTATACAGGTGCTATACAGGTGCTATACAGCCGCCCTAACCTACAACCTGTGTGACGACAGGTAGTATACAGGTGCTATACAGCCGCCCTAACCTACAACCTCTGTGACGACAGGTAGTATACAGGTGCTATACCGCCGCCCTCACCTACAACCTCTGTGACGACAGGTAGTATACAGGTGCTATACAGCCGCCCTAACCTACAACCTCTGTGACGACAGGTAGTATACAGGTGCTATACAGCCTCCCTAACTTACAACCTCTGTGACGACAGGTAGTATACAGGTGCTATACAGCCGCCCTAACCTACAACCTCTGTGACGACAGGTAGTATACAGGTGCTATACAGGTGTTATACAGCCGCCCTCACCTACAACCTCTGTGACGACAGGTAGTATACAGGTGCTATACAGGTGCTATACAGCCGCCCTAACCTACAACCTCTGTGACGACAGGTAGTATACAGGTGCTATACAGCCGCCCTCACCTACAACCTCTGTGACGACAAGTAGTATACAGGTGCTATACAGCCGCCCTCACCTACAACCTCTGTGACGACAGGTAGTATACAGGTGCTATACAGCCGCCCTAACCTACAACCTGTGTGACGACAGGTAGTATACAGGTGCTATACAGCTGCCCTAACCTAAAACCTCTGTGACGACAGGTAGTATACAGGTGCTATACCGCCGCCCTCACCTACAACCTCTGTGACGACAGGTAGTATACAGGTGCTATACAGCCGCCCTAACCTACAACCTCTGTGACGACAGGTAGTATACAGGTGCTATACAGCCGCCCTAACCAACAACCTCTGTGACGACAGGTAGTATACAGGTGCTATACAGCCGCCCTCACCTACAACCTCTGTGACGACAGGTAGTATACAGGTGCTATACAGCCGCCCTCACCTACAACCTCTGTGACGACAGGTAGTATACAGGTGCTATACAGCCGCCCTAACCTACAACCTGTGTGACGACAGGTAGTATACAGGTGCTATACAGCCGCCCTAACCTACAACCTGTGTGACGACAGGTAGTATACAGGTGCTATACATGTTCTATACAGCCGCCCTAACCTACAACCTCTGTGACGACAGGTAGTATACAGGTGCTATACCGCCTCCCTCACCTACAACCTGTGTGACGACAGGTAGTATACAGGTGCTATACAGCTGCCCTAACCTACAACCTCTGTGACGACAGGTAGTATACAGGTGCTATACAGGTGCTATACAGCCGCCCTCACCTACAACCCCTGTGACAATAGGTAGTATACAGGTGCCCTCACCTACAACCTCTGTGACGACAGGTGCTATACAGGTGCTACACAGCCGCCCTCACCTACAACCTGTGTGACGACAGGTACTACACAGGTGCTATACAGCCGCCCTCACCTACAACCTCTGTGACGACAGGTAGTATACAGGTGCTACACAGGTGCCCTCACCTACAACCTGTGTGACGACAGGTAGTATACAGGCGCTATACAGCCGCCCTCACCTACAACCTGTGTGACGACAGGTACTACACAGGTGCTATACAGCCGCCCTCACCTACAACCTGTGTGACGACAGGTAGTATACAGGTGCTACACAGCCGCCCTCACCTACAACCTCTGTGACGACAGGTACAACACAGGTGCTATACAGCCGCCCTCACCTACAACCTCTGTGACGACAGGTACTATACAGGTGCTATACAGCCGCCCTCACCTACAACCTGTGTGACGACAGGTACTACACAGGTGCTATACAGCCGCCCTCACCTACAACCTGTGTGACGACAGGTAGTACACAGGTGCTACACAGCCGCCCTCACCTACAACCTCTGTGACGACAGGTAGTATACAGGTGCTATACAGCCGACCTCACCTACAACCTGTGTGACAACAGGTACTACACAGGTGCTATACAGCCGCCCTCACCTACAACCTCTGTGACGACAGGTAGTATACAGGTGCTATACCGCCGCCCTCACCTACAACTTGTGTGACGACAGGTACTACACAGGTGCTATACAGCCGCCCTCACCTACAACCTCTGTGACGACAGGTAGTATACAGGTGCTATACAGCCGTCCTCACCTACAACCTGTGTGACGACAGGTAGTATACAGGTGCTATACAGCCGCCCTCACCTACAACCTCTGTGACGACAGGTAGTATACAGGTGCTATACAGCCGCCCTCACCTACAACCTGCGTGACGACAGGTACTACACAGGTGCTATACAGCCGCCCTCACCTACAACCTGTGTGACGACAGGTACTACACAGGTGCTATACAGCCGCCCTCACCTACAACCTGTGTGACGACAGGTACTACACAGGTGCTATACAGCCGCCCTCACCTACAACCTCTGTGACGACAGGTAGTATACAGGTGCTATACAGCCGCCCTCACCTACAACCTCTGTGACGACAGGTAGTATACAGGTGCTATACAGCCGCCCTCACCTACAACCTGCGTGACGACAGGTACTACACAGGTGCTATACAGCCGCCCTCACCTACAACCTGTGTGACGACAGGTACTACACAGGTGCTATACAGCCGCCCTCACCTACAACCTGTGTGACGACAGGTACTACACAGGTGCTATACAGCCGCCCCTCACCTACAACCTCTGTGACGACAGGTAGTATACAGGTGCTATACAGCCGCCCTCACCTACAACCTCTGTGACGACAGGTAGTATACAGGTGCATACAGCCGCCCTCACCTACAACCTCGTGACGACAGGTACTACACAGGTGCTATACAGCCGCCCTCACCTACAACCTGGTGACCGTACTACACAGACGCCCACAGGTGCATACAGCCGCCCTCACCTACAACTCTGTGACTCAGGTGTATACAGGTGCTATACAGCCGTCCTCACCTACAACCTGTGTGACGACAGGTAGTATACAGGTGCTATACAGCCGCCCTCACCTACAACCTCTGTGACGACAGGTAGTATACAGGTGCTATACAGCCGCCCTCACCTACAACCTGCGTGACGACAGGTACTACACAGGTGCTATACAGCCGCCCTCACCTACAACCTGTGTGACGACAGGTACTACACAGGTGCTATACAGGTGCTATACAGCCGCCCTCACCTACAACCTGTTTGATTACTGGAGAAAGACCAGAGAGAGACCAGAGAGAGACCAGAGAGAGACCAGAGAGAGAGACCAGAGAGGGACCAGAGAGAGACCAGAGAGAGACCAGAGAGAGACCAGTTGTAATGTGAGGTCTGTTTTCAGATATAACTGGTTCTACCACACTGAGCCTCAGCCGCACATGGACGGCCGGTCGCTGTACTGGCCCCGGGGCCGAGTCTGGGGCGGGTCTTCGTCTCTGAACGCCATGGTCTACATCAGGGGCCACGCCGAGGACTACAACCGCTGGGAGAGAGAGGGGGCCACGGGCTGGGACTACGACCACTGCCTGCCCTACTTCAGGAAGGCCCAGAGTCACGAGCTGGGGCCAGACAGGTATCTACAGCCTCAGTCCTGGGTCTACAGCCTCAGTCCTGGGTCTACAGCCTCAGTCCTGGGTCTACAGCCTCAGTCCTGGGTCTACAGCCTCAGTCCTGGGTCTACAGCCTCAGTCCTGGGTCTACAGCCTCAGTCCTGGGTCTACAGCCTCGGTCCTGGGTCTACAACCTCAGTCCTGGGTCTACAACCTCAGTCCTGGGTCTACAACCTCAGTCCTGGGTCTACAGCCTCAGTCCTGGGTCTACAGCCTCAGTCCTGGGTCTACAGCCTCAGTCCTGGGTCTACAGCCTCAGTCCTGGGTCTACAGCCTCAGTCCTGGGTCTACAGCCTCAGTCCTGGGTCTACAGCCTCAGTCCTGGGTCTACAGCCTCAGTCCTGGGTCTACAGCCTCAGTCCTGGGTCTACAAGCCTCAGTCCTGGGTCTACAGCCTCAGTCCTGGGTCTACAGCCTCAGTCCTGGATCTACAGCCTCAGTCCTGGGTCTACAGCCTCAGTCCTGGGTCTACAGCCTCAGTCCTGGGTCTACAGCCTCAGTCCTGGGTCTACAAGCCTCAGTCCTGGATCTACAGCCTCAGTCCTGGGTCTACAGCCTCAGTCCTGGGTCTACAGCCTCAGTCCTGGGTCTACAGCCTCAGTCCTGGGTCTACAGCCTCAGTCCTGGGTCTAACGTTAGCCTCTTGTGTGGCAGGTACCGTGGGGACAGTGGTCCTCTCAAAGTGTCCCGGGGGAAGACCCAGCACCCTCTGCACCAGGCGTTCATCGAGGCGGGGCAGCAGGCCGGGTACCCCTTCACCTCAGACATGAACGGGTACCAGCAGGAGGGGCTGGGCTGGATGGACATGACGGTGCACAAGGGTACGGCTGTCCCACCGGGGGAAATGTCAGTGTTGCATCACCCGTTACACATAATAAAGAAGCTAGTATAAAATCTCTAGCTTTAGCATAATAAAGAAGCTAGTATAAAATCTCTAGCTTTAGCATAATAAAGAAGCTAGTATAAAATCTCTAGCGTTAGCATAATAAATAAGCTAGTATAAAATCTCTAGCGTTAGCATAATAAATAAGCTAGTATAAAATGCACAGGTCGGTCTCGCACTGAGGTCTCCCATCAACGCGCTCTGCCTAGTGATGGCAATATGAAGCCCCATGAAGCCTTGAGGGATCGCAGCCTATTACTCGGCCCATGAGTCGAAGGCTCGAGGTGAATCATGCTCCACTACGCCATCATGTGGACAAAAAAATACATAACACTCTTAAGTGATTATAATGAATGGTGAGATCTAATGTTAAAATGTATATTTACAATCTATGGTCTAACGTGTTGTGTTTGAAATGATGCTTCATGAACTATGAACTATTTGAGTCTTTCAGTCAATTGTGTTGATACAACAAACACATCCAAAGTAATACAGTTCTACAGAAAGTGATTAATGGAGGAAAAACTACCAAGAGGTGGATTAATTAAACACAACAAACTATTTATTCCCAATAAATAAATACATTTACTTTGCAACACAAAATGTATTATGGGTAGACCAGGATTCGAACGCTATATCTTCTGCTTCGGAGAAGTCCGTCATAGACCGACTGCGCCACACAGCTGTTGTGAAATGTATTATCCAGCGTATTATTACTGATAACTTGAAGCCTTGATATATGAGGTTTTACTAAAGTGAAACGTTTTTAATTGTATTTCATATGAAGTAGTTTCTCTATACTTAGTACAGGACTGCTCCACATCACGCACACACACGTACGCACACACGTACGCACACACACGTACGCACACACACGTACGCACACACACGTACGCACACAGAGGCAGACGGGGACAGCCAGTACAGTCTATGGTACAGCCTCGGATCACAAAGCACCTGTCAAAGCAATGCACTCTCCGAACAATATGAAGCACTATATGAACCGTCACGTGGTGCGGCCGCTACGCGAGGCTTCGAACGTCATCACACACGTGACCAATACACGCCTCGACCCACACTTCAAAAGAAACGCCCCCAGATTACTCGGTCCACGCTTCGAAGACTCGGTCCGCTCAGCACATCACTAGCTCTGCCTCACTCTTCCCCTCTGCGCAGGGAAACGCTGGAGCTCCGCCAGTGCGTACCTGCGGCCGGCCCTGGGGCGTCCCAACCTGAGGACCGAGGTCCGCTGCCTCACCACCCGAGTGCTGTTCCAGGGAAACAGAGCAGTGGGAGTGGAGTATGTGCAGAACGGACAGAAGAAGAAGCGGTGAGGAGGGGGGGGGGGGGGGGGGGGGGGGGGGGGGGAGGAGGAAGGGGGGGAGGGGAGAGAGAAAGATGAAGAAGGGGAGTAGAGGGAGAGAAGGCGGAGTGAGGAAGGGAAGGAGGGGAGGAAGAGGAAAAATGGGAGGTCGGAGAAGAGGGGAGGTCAGAGGACGAGAAGGAGCGGGGAGGGGAAGAAGGAGAGGGGAAGGGGGAGAGAGGGGGGAGGGGGGGACTGCGAAACGAAGAAGTAATAATAGTAATGGATAGTCTAAGAGGTAGATGCGAAGTGGAGGAGAGGGCGGGACGAGAGGGTGTTGAGGAGGGAAAGGATGGGGATGCCGGGTGGAAGGAGGGGTGAGGAGGGAGGCGAAGGCGGACGGAGAGGAGGGATGAGCAGAGAGGGCGGAGGGGTGAAGGGGATAGGCGGGATGAGGAGAGGTGTGAAGGGGAGGTGGGGAGGGCGGGAAGGGGGGGGAGAGAAGGGAAGAGGGGGAAGAGAGCGTGAGGCGCGGCCGGCGGCGGTCCGGGGCTGCGAGCGGGGAAAGGACGGCGCGAGAGGACGGTGAGGCGGGGGCGACGGAGGGGCCGCCAGTGGAGCGCGGCCAGGGTGAGGAGGCGGTGGACGGGGAGATATTTGAGGCGTCGCGGCGGGGGGACGCGCGGCCCCGCGCCCCTCAGGCTTTTGAGGTTGGATTCGCGGGCCAGGCTCGGCGGTGAGCCGAGGGCGTGTGCGGGAGGGGAGGAAGGGGAGAGTCCCCCCCCCCCCCGCCCCGTTCTCGTTCCTTCTAGTCGTCCCTCGCCTTTGCTCGCTGAGAGGGGGATGGCTGTGCTGAGGGGGAGAGGAGGCCAGTCCACCCCATGCAGCATGTTCACCCCTCCATATAGAAACTGATGCCCATGAGGTACGCTGACCCCCACCCGGATCTTGACATAATATGTGCTTGTGGTTGCCAGGTTGTATAATGTGTGCTTGTGGTTGCCAGGTTGTATAATGTGTGCTGTGGTTGCCAGGTTGTATAATGTGTGCTTGTGGTTGCCAGGTTGTATAATGTGTGCTTGTGGTTGCCAGGTTGTATAATGTGTGCTTGTGGTTGCCAGGTTGTATAATGTGTGCTTGTGGTTGGCCAGGTTGTATAATGTCTGCTGTGGTTGCCAGGTTGTATTCTTGTGTTCCATTAAACTGGCCTGTAGGGGGCGCATGAGCAGAGGTGAGACAGTGTTGCTCCCATTGAAAACCATGTAAAGTCTGTTTTGGAGTCAAAGGCTCTCCTCCTGTGCGCTGTACGGTTGTTGGAACAGTCTTAATCAGAGACACTCAATTCAAAGGGAGAACTAACAAATATTTATCAAAAGAGTCTTGATTTTGGGCATTTTTGGAAAGAAAAACAGAAGAAATTGCTGCGTTTCATTGGGGTGGCCTGCACCAGTGATGTTTTCAAAGTGTCCTCCTTTATCTGAGACCACAGTTGGAACATGAACAAACTCTGGTCTTTCTCTATTTGTGCGGTTGCTACAAACGTACACCGCACAAAAAGATGCTTCTTCTTCTACTATATCTCTGTGTATAAACCGCTTCTTCTTCTACTATATCTCCGTGTATAAACCGCTTCTTCTTCTACTATATCTCTGTGTATAAACCGCTTCTTCTTCTACTATATCTCTGTGTATAAACCGCTTCTTCTTCTACTATATCTCCGTGTATAAACCGCTTCTTCTTCTACTATATCGTCTCTTCTCTTCTACTATATCTCCGTGTATAAACCACTTCTTCTTCTACTATATCTCCGTGTCTCTCTCTGGTCTCTCTCTCTGGTCTCTCTCCGTATCTCTCTCTCTCTGGCCTCTCTCTGGTCTCTCTCTCTGGTCTCTCTCTGGTCTCTCTCTGGTCTCTCTCTGGTCTCTCTCTCTGGTCTCTCTCTCTGGTCTCTCTCTCTGGTCTCTCTCTGATCTCTCTCTGGTCTCTCTCTGGCCTCTCTCTGGTCTCTCTCTGGTCTCTCTGATCTTAGGAAGAGGAGCAGGAGGAGGAGCGACTGATCTTAAACTGAAATGAAAAAGTAGAATAAAAGAATGTAACATGGGCGGGTCCAGTTTTAATAGAGTCTGGTCTAACAGGTCCTGAACCACGTCTACACAAAAACTGAACAGGACTGAACCAGGACTGAACCAGGTCTCAACCAAGACTGAACCAGGTCTGAACCAGGACTGGGTCTGAGGATCAGAAATCATGGTAAGAACAGTGCTTGTATTTATGTTTGAATTTTTCTGTCTCTGATCTGTTCAAGATACTTTTGAGTATCAGTACAACACATAGTACACAGTATAGTACTGTGTGAGTACACCGGGCACGTCCCACCATTTGTGCCCCGAACACCTCCCCAGGGAGGCGTCCAGGAGGGATCCGGAACACATGCCCGAGCCACCTCAACTGGTTCCTCTTGACGTGGAGAAGCAGCGGCTCTACTCCGAGCTCCTCCCGTGTGACTGAGCTCCTCACCCTATCTCTAAGGGAGCAGCCACTCTGCGGAGGAAGCTCATTTCGACGCTTGTATCCGCGATCTCGTTCTTTTGGTCATTACCCACAGCTCATGACCATAGGTGAGGGAGGGAACGAAGATTGACCAGTAAATCGAGAGCTTTGCCTTTCGGCTCAGCTCCCTCTTTACCACAATGGTCCGATACAGCTCTGACTGCAGACGCTGCTCCCTCTTTACCACAACGGTCCAATACAGCTCTGACTGCAGACGCTGCTCCCTCTTCACCACGACGGTCCGATACAGCTCTGACTGCAGACGCTGCTCCCTCTTCGCCACGACGGTGCGATACAGCTCTGACTGCAGACGCTGCTCCCTCTTCACCACAACGGCCTGATACAGCGACCGCATCACTGCGCACGCTGCACCGATCCGCCTGTCAATCTCACGCTCCATCCTTCCCTCACTCGTGAACAAGACCCCGAGATACTTGAACTCCTCCACTTGAGGAAGGACCTCTCATCCTGGAGTAGACCTTACCGGGGAGGCTGAGGAGTGTGATCCCACAATAATTGGAACACACCCTCCGGTCCCCCTTCTTGTAGAGAGGGACCACCACCCCGGTCTGCCACTCCATTGGCACCGCCTCTGATTGCCATGTTGTAGGGCTGTGTTGGCAAACTGCCAAACTGACATTTTGCCAGAATCTCTTTGAGGCCGACCGATAGTCATGCTCCTTGGACTCTCTGAACTCCTCCCAGTCCCGGGTTTTTGCCTCTGCAACAGCCCGGGCTGCGACGAGCTTGGCCTGCCGGTACTGGACAGCTGCCTCAGGAGTCCCACGAACCATCATGGCTCGATAGGACTCCTTCTACAGTCTGACGGCATCCTTCACTACTGGTGTCCACCACCGGGTTCCTCCGCCGGGACCTGGGAGAAACTCTCCCGGAGGTGTGAGTTGAAAGTCCGTCTGACAGGGGGCTCAGCGAGACGTTCCCAGCAGACCCTCACTATACGCTTGGGTCTGCCAGGTCTGACCGGCTTCTTCCCCTGCCAGCGGATCCAACTCACGACCAGGTGATGATCGGTTGACAGCTCCGCCCCTCTCTTTAGCTCCGCCCCTCTCTTCACCCGAGTGTCCGAGACACGCGGCCAAAGGTCAGATGATACAACAACAAAGTGGATCATCGACCTCCGACCTAGGGTGTCCTGGTGCCACGTGCACTGGTGCTGGAACATGGTGTTCGTGATGGACAATCTGTGACTAGCACAGAAGTCCAACAACTGAACGTTCTTCCCGATCACCCCTCTCCAAGTGTCACTGGCGTTTCCCACATGGGCGTTGAAGTCCCCCAGGAGAATAACGGAGTCCCCTCCCAAGGACTCCAAGAAGGCCGGGTACTCTGCACTTCTGTTAGGCCCGTAGGCACAACAACAGTGAGAGACTTGTCCCTCACCCGGAGGCGGAGGGACGCGACCCTCTCATTCACTGGGGAGAACTCCAACACGTGGCGGCTGAGATGGGGGGCAATGAGTATGCCCCCCCCCCCCCATAAAAAAATAATGGTTTAATGATAATTAGATAAAAGTCCAGGTGAAAACAAACTCAAAATCCAAAAGGAACAAGGAACAAGGAACAGGACAGAACAGACAATACAATGTACCAGCAACAAGGGAGAGGAGCACAGGTACATATAGACTGACACAGATAGACACATCAGGGCGGGGCAGACCATCAACAGGGACCAGGACAGGAAGACAAACTGAAACCACAGAGAACTAACTAATGTCAAAACAAAACCAAATACAGATATAAAATCTACACCATGACACTTGTCTGAGCTGCCGGCGTTTAGCAGTGAACCAGGGTTTGTCGTTGTCATGAATGACCCTGGTCCTTGTTGGAATGATGGTATCGTCAGACGTGAATTTGTGATGTCACATAATGTCCGTGTGCTGCAGATGGTCTGAGAAGAACAGTATCAGTGTGTTCCCGAGAGACATCTGCCACATGTTCTCTACTCAAGCTTTCACTTTCACTTCCACAGAATAACAGGAACGATGAGGACCTTCCAGCAGAAGGAGGAGCAGGAGCAGGAGGAGGAACAGGAGGAGGAGGAGGAACAGGAGGAGGAACAGGAGGAGGAGCAGGAGCAGGAGGAGTAGGAGCAGGAGGAACAGGAGGAGGAACAGGAGGAGGAGGAGGAACAGGAGGAGGAGCAGGAGCAGGAGGAGTACCATGGTGGGGCTGGGTGTCTGTGGCAGCAGTATCTGCATCTGCAGCAGTATCTGCAGCTCTGTGTGAGTGTGTTCCTCCCACAGGGTTCCTCTGGTACCACAGTTTCTGTTTCAATTAGGCTGCGGTCACATGCACAGCCTGAAGCCCGGTTTAAGTGTGCCAGGGCCCACTTTGCACTTAGCTGTTAGCTACAGTAGCAGAATGTAAACAGAAAGAGAAACGGAAACTTAACTCGGACAACCAGTTCATCGCTGAAGTTAGTATTAGCGCTGCCAGCTGGACCGAGCGTTGTAAACTTCTCTTGTGTGAGATCAATAAAGTCTACCTTATCTTATCGCACTGCAGCACAGTTACTCTGGAACGGTTGTGAGAAGAAGCTCTTGTGACCGTGGGCTGTGCTTTAAACCCTGTGGCGACGATCCGGGCCACTTGGCCTAATTCATTTGTAAAAACCTATGTGACCATGCCCTTAGTGACCTTTACGAGGCTACAGAGAGTCCAGAGAGAGACCAGAGAGAGACCAGCGAGAGACCAGAGCGAGACCAGAGAGAGACCAGAGAGAGACCAGAGAGAGACCAGCGAGAGACCAGAGCGAGACCAGAGAGAGACCAGAGAGAGACCAGCGAGAGACCAGGCAGTGAGAGACCAGAGAAAGACCAGAGAGAGACCAGAGAGAGACCAGAGAGAGACCAGCGAGAGACCAGCGAGAGACCAGGCAGTGAGAGACCAGAGAGAGACCAGAGAGAGACCAGAGAGAGACCAGAGAGAGACCAGAGAGAGACCAGAGAGAGACCAGAGAGAGACTAGAGAGAGACCAGAGAGAGACCAGCGAGAGACCAGAGAGAGACCAGAGAGAGAGACCAGAGAGAGACCAGAGAGAGACCAGAGAGAGACCAGAAAGAGACCAGAGCGAGACCAGAGAGAGACCAGAGCGAGACCATAGAGAGACCAGAAAGAGACCAGAGAGAGACCAGCAAGAGACCAGTGAGAGACCAGCGAGAGACCAGGCAGTGAGAGACCAGAGAGAGACCAGAGAGAGACCAGAGAGAGACCAGAGAGAGACCAGAGAGAGACCAGGCAGTGAGAGACCAGAGAGAGACCAGAGAGAGACCAGAGAGAGACCAGCGAGAGACCAGAGAGAGACCAGAGCGAGACCAGAGAGAGACCAGAGAGAGACCAGAGAGAGACCAGAGAGAGACCAGCGAGAGACCAGAGCGAGACCAGAGAGAGACCAGAGAGAGACCAGCGAGAGACCAGGCAGTGAGAGACCAGAGAGAGACCAGAGAGAGACCAGAGAGAGACCAGCGAGAGACCAGCGAGAGACCAGGCAGTGAGAGACCAGAGAGAGACCAGAGAGAGAACAGAGAGAGACCAGAGAGAGACCAGAGAGAGACCAGAGAGAGACCAGAGAGAGACTAGAGAGAGACCAGAGAGAGACCAGCGAGAGACCAGAGAGAGACCAGAGAGAGAGACCAGAGAGAGACCAGAGAGAGACCAGAGAGAGACCAGAAAGAGACCAGAGCGAGACCAGAGAGAGACCAGAGCGAGACCATAGAGAGACCAGAAAGAGACCAGAGAGAGACCAGCAAGAGACCAGTGAGAGACCAGCGAGAGACCAGGCAGTGAGAGACCAGAGAGAGACCAGAGAGAGACCAGAGAGAGACCAGAGAGAGACCAGGCAGTGAGAGACCAGAGAGAGACCAGAGAGAGACCAGAGAGAGACCAGAGAGAGACCAGCGAGAGACCAGAGAGAGACCAGAGAGAGAGACCAGAGAGAGACCAGAGAGAGACCAGAGAGAGACCAGAAAGAGACCAGAGCAAGACCAGAGAGAGACCAGAGCGAGACCAGAGAGAGACCAGAGAGAGACCAGAGCGAGACCATAGAGAGACCAGAAAGAGACCAGAGAGAGACCAGCAAGAGACCAGTGAGAGACCAGCGAGAGACCAGGCAGAGAGAGGAGACCAGAGAGAGTCCAGAGAGAGACCAGAGAGAGACCAGAGAGAGAGACCAGAGAGAGACCAGACCAGAGAGAGAGACCAGAGAGAGACCAGAGAGAGACCAGAGAGAGACCAGACAGAGAGAGAGAGACCAGAGAGAGACCAGAGACACCAGAGACCAGTTGCACGAGACCAGAGAGAGACCAGAGAGAGACCAGAGAGAGACCAGAGAGAGACCAGAGAGAGACCAGGGAGAGACCAGAGAGAGACCAGATAGAGACCAGAGAGAGACCAGAGAGAGACCAGGGAGAGACCAGAGAGAGACCAGAGAGAGACCAGGGAGAGACCAGAGAGAGACCAGAGAGAGACCAGGGAGAGACCAGAGAGAGACCAGAGAGAGACCAGAGAAAGACAAGAGAGAGACCAGGGAGAGACCAGAGAGAGACCAGAGGGAGAGACCAGAGAGAGACCAGAGAGAGACCAGAGAGAGACCAGGGAGAGACCAGGGAGAGACCAGGGAGAGACCAGAGAGAGACCAGAGAGAGACCAGAGAGAGACCAGAGAGAGACCAGGGAGAGACCAGGGAGAGACCAGAGAGAGACCAGAGAGAGACCAGAGAGAGACCAGAGAGAGACCAGGGAGAGACCAGGGAGAGACCAGAGAGAGACCAGAGAGAGACCAGAGAGAGACCAGAGAAAGACAAGAGAGAGACCAGGGAGAGACCAGAGGGAGACCAGAGAGAGACCAGAGAGAGACCAGAGAGAGACCAGAGAGAGACCAGAGAGAGACCAGAGAGAGACCAGAGAGAGACCAGAGAGAGACCAGGGAGAGACCAGGGAGAGACCAGAGAGAGACCAGAGAGAGACCAGAGAGAGAGACCAGGGAGAGACCAGGGAGAGACCAGGGAGAGACCAGAGAGAGACCAGAGAGAGACCAGAGAAAGACAAGAGAGAGACCAGGGAGAGACCAGAGAGAGACCAGAGAGAGACCAGAGAGAGACCAGAGAGAGACCAGGGAGAGACCAGGGAGAGACCAGAGAGAGACCAGAGAGAGACCAGAGAGAGACCAGAGAGAGACCAGAGAGAGACCAGAGAGAGACCAGAGAGAGAGACCAGAGAGAGACCAGAGAGAGACCAGGGAGAGACCAGGGAGAGACCAGAGAGAGACCAGACAGAGACCAGAGAGAGAGACCAGAGAGAGACCAGAGAGAGACCAGGGAGAGACCAGAGAGAGACCAGAGAGAGACCAGGGAGAGACCAGAGAGAGACCAGAGAGAGACCAGAGAGAGAGACCAGAGAGAGACCAGAGAGAGAGACCAGAGAGAGACCAGAGAGAGACCAGAGGGAGAGACCAGAGGGAGAGACCAGAGGGAGAGACCAGAGGGAGAGACCAGAGAGAGACCAGAAAGAGACCAGAGAGAGACCAGAGGGAGACCAGAGAGAGACCAGAGAGAGACCAGAGAGAGACCAGGGAGAGACCAGAGAGAGACCAGAGAGAGACCAGAGAGAGACCAGAGAGAGACCAGAGAGAGACCAGGGAGAGACCAGAGAGAGACCAGAGAGAGACCAGAGAGAGACCAGAGAAAGACAAGAGAGAGACCAGGGAGAGACCAGAGAGAGACCAGAGAGAGACCAGAGAGAGACCAGAGAGAGACCAGAGAGAGACCAGAGAAAGACCAGGGAGAGACCAGAGAGAGACCAGGGAGAGACCAGGGAGAGACCAGAGAGACCAGAGAGAGACCAGAGAGAGACCAGAGAGAGACCAGAGAGAGACCAGAGAGAGACCAGGGAGAGACCAGAGAGAGACCAGGGAGAGACCAGGGAGAGACCAGAGAGACCAGGGAGAGACCAGAGAGAGACCAGAGAGAGACCAGAGAGGGACCAGAGAGAGACCAGAGAGAGACCAGAGAGAGACCAGAGAGAGACCAGAGAGAGACCAGACAGAGACCAGAGAGAGACCAGGGAGAGACCAGGGAGAGACCAGAGAGAGACCAGGGAGAGACCAGGGAGAGACCAGGGAGAGACCAGGGAGAGACCAGAGAGAGACCAGAGAGAGACCAGAGAGAGACCAGAGAGAGACCAGAGAGAGACCAGAGAGAGACCAGAGAGAGACCAGAGAGAGACCAGGGAGAGACCAGGGAGAGACCAGAGAGAGACCAGAGAGAGACCAGAGAGAGACCAGAGAGAGACCAGAGAGAGACCAGGGAGAGACCAGGGAGAGACCAGAGAGAGACCAGAGAGAGACCAGAGAGAGACCAGAGAGAGACCAGAGAGAGACCAGAGAGAGAGACCAGAGAGAGACCAGGGAGAGACCAGAGGGAGACCAGAGAGAGACCAGAGAGAGACCAGAGAGAGACCAGAGAGAGACCAGAGAGAGACCAGAGAGAGACCAGAGAGAGACCAGAGAGAGACCAGAGAAAGACAAGAGAGAGACCAGGGAGAGACCAGAGAGAGACCAGAGAGAGACCAGAGAGAGACCAGAGAGAGACCAGAGAGAGACCAGAGAAAGACAAGAGAGAGACCAGGGAGAGACCAGAGAGAGACCAGAGAGAGACCAGGGAGAGACCAGGGAGAGACCAGAGAGAGACCAGAGAGAGACCAGAGAGAGACCAGAGAGAGACCAGAGAGAGACCAGAGAGAGACCAGGGAGAGACCAGAGAGAGACCAGGGAGAGACCAGACAGAGACCAGAGAGAGAGACCAGGGAGAGACCAGGGAGAGTAGTAATAGTAATCTTTAGTAATCTTTATTTATATACCGCCTTTTCACTGCAGATCTGAGTCTCAAAGCGGTTTACAATTGTTAATTTTGGGCATTTGTCTCTCACTCCACACAGAGATGGGAGCGGGGCCAGTACAGGAGGCGCATGCTAGAACTATTGGACATATTTTTAGTGGTAGGGGAAACCGGAGTACCCGGAGAAAACCTACGCAGACACAGGGAGAACATGCAAACTCCACTCAGAAAGGCCCTGGTCCGACCGGGATTCGAACCCAGGACCTTCTTGCTGAGAGGCGAGAGTGCTATCCACTCAGCCACCGTGCCGCCCAGAGAGAGACCAGAGAAAGACAAGAGAGAGACCAGGGAGAGACCAGAGAGAGACCAGAGAGAGACCAGAGAGAGACCAGAGAGAGACCAGAGAGAGACCAGACCAGAGAGAGACTAGAGAGAGAGACCAGAGAGAGACCAGAGAGAGACCCAGAGAGAGAGACCAGAGCGAGAGACCAGAGAGAGAGACCAGAGAGAGACCAGAGAGAGGCCAGAGAGAGGCCAGAGAGAGGCCAGAGAGAGACCAGGATTCGAACCCAGGACCTTCTTGCTGAGAGGCGAGAGTGCTATCCACTCAGCCACCGTGCCGCCCAGAGACAAGATAGAGAGAGACTAGAGAGAGAGATACAAGAGAGAGAGAGAGACCAGAGAAGGGCTAGTGAGAGACACCAGAGATAGACCAGGGAAAGGTTTCTCTCTCTATTCCACATGTGTTAACGTCTAATCCAGACGGGAACAGTTTGAGTTTCTTGTTTTAAAAGCCTTTCAATAACTGCATCCTTTGTCCCAGAGAAGAGTGGGTCAAACGCAGAGACACAAAGAGTGGGTCAAGCGCAGAGACACAGAGAAGAGTGGGTCAAACGCAGAGACACAGAGAAGAGTGGGTCAAACGCAGAGACACAGAGTGGGTTAAACGCAGAGACACAGAGAAGAGTGGGTCAAACGCAGAGACACAGAGAAGAGTGGGTCAAACGCAGAGACACAGAGAAGAGTGGGTCAAACGCAGAGACACAGAGAAGAGTGGGTCAAACGCAGACACAGAGAAGAGCAGTCATATTGATGGCTTTTAGTTTTGGAAGCAAAATGACTCATGTCCTTTTTCGTCCTAAAACTGTGACTTCTTTGGTGTCTATATGTAGTTTATTTTCTACGTCATTTAAATGTATACCATTTTCAGTCACTTGGCATCCAACATTCTGTGGCAGGTAAAGCCCCTTTCATCCACAGTGCTGGTCCTGGACTGGACTGGTTCGTTTTGCACGGGAGCAGAACCAGCGCTAGTTACTATAGCAACACTACAGACTTTACTTGCTGCAGTTTGCATTTGCTTTCACTAAGCAAGTTTAGCTTTAAGTTTTAGCACTTATTATAGGTGAGTAAATTTGTTTTGGTAGAAAACGAACTCTCCTTTTTGATATTATTTGAATTGCGTTGAATTGAATGGGAACCATCATAAGAACGGGTGTTCTAGTAGCTTCAGGAGTTTGTCAGAAAATGTGAAACGTATTACATTTGTTGTGTTTACCCGTTTGATTATTTTTTAATTATGTAATTCTCTGATTGTGTAATTAATACGATGTCTAAAAAGCATTATCCCTAATATTCTGTTCACGTGAGAATTTTTTAAGGCTAAAGCGAGGCACCAGTTTGAAGCGGATCAGCGGATCAGCGGGCGAACCTCTACACTGTACTGTCCCGGTACTGACCCGGTGAGATCCAGCTTTTAAACACAACTTTTACACCGTTAAACCGACCACGACACGGACACACGCAGCGGGAGGCTCCGGTGTGAGGGCACAGAAGCGGCTGGAAGTGAGACAAGTGCAAGGCTGTTGCAGTCTGCGCCGAAGCTAATGCTAATGCTAATGCTAACCGCTGTTTTGACTGGCTCCTTAGGATAAAGCTAACGACAGAGAAAGCTACTTACCCAACTTTATATTCTCTAAATGACCAAATGACCACGCACGTAACCACTGTGGTCAGCTGGGTGTTGCATTTAGAGGATTAGAAAACGTCTCAATTGTTATGAATAGGATACATCATCCGTGCGAGTCACTATTTGACGCTTTGGGATAGATATTGTCTGTAAAATCTGTTCTACTGCTGTGACATGAATAAAAAACAGGCTATAGCAGTATACATGCACTCGGTTGGTCTTTGTTATTGTCCTTTGAATTTTGCCTTTTGCTAACGCTGGTTTTCCTGTAAATAAAACATGTGGTTTGTTGATCAGTAAATTGAGACTAGTTTCAACATGTTCTGTGTCAGAATGTTACTATTTGACTAGAAGATGAGACAGAAGCAGCTGTTTCAGAGCCAGATCTATAGACATGGATTATGAGAGTTCTATTTGTGTGGTCTGAAAGTTACGTGCCCCAGCTTTAAGGACCCATACTGGATAAAATAATTACCTTTTATATGAATGTGTCTGAATAAAAAGATGAACTGTATTTGCTTAGTGTTCTCTTTGTAAACGTGGTGGGACACACAATGGACAGAAAGAAGGTCTGGGGTTCAATTCCACCTCCAGGCCTGGAGTGGAGTTTGCACATTCTCCATGTGTCTGTTGGTTTCCTCCGTGTGCTCCGGTTGTAATGTAATGAGTGTGTTTGTCAACTCTTTCGTGGAGTGAATGGAAATGCTTGGTTTACTAAAATGGTGAACAGAGCCATGTATGACCTTGGTCTTTTAAATGCCCTATATATAAATAATATATAAAGTACTACCTAAAAAGGATGATGACTTTGTGGTCTGGGGTACGAACGGTCATGTGCCCTTTGAGGCTGTATAATTCCAGTGTAGGAATAGCCGCAGGTCACGCAACACAAAACTGTTAGTGAGCTTTTCAATGCAAGTCAATAGGAGTCGGAGCCATTTGCCGCAAAACTTTGTCCAAGAGCCCTTCCCTGTTGACTCACTTGAGCTAGCGGGTTAGCATTGTCCATCTGTACACAGGCGGTGGTTGAGGCATCAAACCAATTCAATGTCTTCTTGTATAGCCCTGAATCACAACCGTAGCTCCGGAGACTTTGGTGTTCTCCTGGTTTCCTTCAGGGCTGCTGTAGGTTAGTGTCTCGCTCTCCTGTGACCTCAGTCTGTGGAATGCGCTACATAATTAAAGAGGACTCTGTGTGTGTGTGTGTGTGGCAGGTGGTTGAGCAGAGAGCATCATGGAACAGGAGAAGGACCGATACGCTTTCGACGCTCCGTCTACCTCGCAGAGGTCCACAACGCCCCCGTGTGACGACGACTTGTTCGGTGAGGGTCCTCGAGCTCCGCGGCTCCCACACACACACACACACACACACACGTCTGAGTGCAGTTTGCATGTTCTCCCTATGTCTGCGGAGGTTTCTTCCAGGTGCTCCGGTTCCCCCTTCGCGCTAAAACGTGTACAATAGTTCTGAATGTAGTGAGTGAAGGATGGAGATGGTCATAGGCTCTGATGCACCAGTGTTCAGCCCTAAATCACAACAGCATCATCTCAGACTTAACAAAACCATTGAAGTCACCAACACAGATCAGAGAATCAACAGTTAAGACACAGAAAATACACACTTATTGGACCATAGGGAGAGACCACTGTCCATAGAGTTGTAGTGTCCTGGATTATCGCCACAGTCCTTCTTGTTAGACGCTGTTACACCTTTTATTGAGAAATGGAAAGAATATGGACCACTGAAAAACCTACCAAGTAGGCCTGGGCGATATGGCTGAAAACTATATCACGATATAAGTCATTCATATCGGTCGATAATGATATATATTGAGTTTTTTTTTTAACCTAAATAAATATATTTGTGGTGTGGGCTAACCAACCTTAGCAGCCTTGTTTACAGTCACGGGGCGATGAGGCTGGAGGAATATGTTCACACTGTGTCCCTCGTTGTTAGTCCTGGTTTAATCCTGGTTTTTTATTCCTGGTTTAGCTCCTGGTTTAGCTGTTTGAGGGTCTTGTGTCCCCGTGACCGCTTTGTGCGGCTCTCTGTGCCGCACATGGTTCCCGAGGAAAAAGTTAATCTCTTGCTTTCGCCGAATACATGGTGTCTGTCCACTGCCTCTGCCGCCGCACATGTTATTCCGCGCACGTACGTGCACAACCATTGACACGGCATTGAAACACGAGCTATAGATCCATGGACACTACGCATGGTGCGGTTGTTGGTGTTTTTGCATTTCCCAGAATGTTTTGCGGTTCCTGCTCGGCTGTTATTGGTCTAGAAGCCTCTGCCTACATCCCCCAAAATGCCATGCGCTTATGAGTCGGCTTTACTTCCGGTGTTTTCTTCCTGTTTTTCCTGACGGAGTTAAGTTAAACTATCGAACATTCTATCGACCCCATTCTTTATTGATATCCAACACATGTCTATCGCGATATATATCGTTATCGTTTTATCGCCCAGCCCTAGTTCCTTGTGTGACAGAAGCCAAGTTTGTTTTAGATACTTACAATAATATACATACTATATTATATACTATCATTTCCAATAATACGTTTACCATATATCATGTTTTTAAAATGCGGGTAAGAATGAAATTGAAAGAAAACCCCTGGCTTTGTATGACTCCTGTTTTTAAAAGTTCCCTTTCGTTTTTTGACACTTGAAGGCAAGGCAAATTTATCTGTATAGCACACGAAAGACATAAGGCAACTCTAAGGGCTTAACAAAATAAAAAAAAGAAACAATCACACAAGGCACTAACATCACAAATAGATAAATAATACCATAATTATAAATAAATAATCACAGTGCAATAAAAGGAGTGAATAGAAAATCATTCAGTTTTCTGCACAGCTAAACCGAAATGTGTTTACCCTGGATTTAAACATTGCCAGAGAAAGAGTCTGTCTCGCATTTTCAGGAAGACCAACGGACTAATTATATTTAGATAGATAGATACTTTATTGATCCCCGGGGGAGAAACTCAGGTGTCCAGCAGCAGCAGGAACACATCCTCACAGTTTAATTCCCGTTTGAGCATTATTTGGGAAACTCGTGTAAACCACTGCTGAGCTCCAGTGAAACTCAAGCCGTTTCCCGCGAACAGGAAGTGAGATGGGGTTGTAGCTAAAACGCGGAAGTGGTGCGTGCATAGAGCCCATTAATGCCTTTTAACAGATTATGGCCATTTAATGACGGCTTGACATGAAAATCTTACATATTACTGCTTTTAAATGTATATTGCAATGTATATTAAATTATATATATACTGAGTGGATAGCACTCTCACCTCTCAGCAAGAAGGTCCTGGGTTCGAATCCCGGCCGGACCAGGGCCTTTCTGAGTGGAGTTTGCATGTTCTCCCCGTGTCTGCGTAGGTTTCCTCCGGGTACTCCAGTTTCCCCTACCACTAAAAATATGTACAATAGTTCTGGCATGTGCCTCCTGTTCTGCGACCCCGCTCCCATCTCTGTGTGGAGTGAGAGACAAATGCCCAAAAATAACAATTGTAAACCGCCTTGTGACTCTGGTCTGTGAAAGGCGGTATATAAATAAAGTTTACTTACTTACTTACTATTAATGCTATACATACATCAATAAATAAAGGACTAGACGAGAACAAAAAGTGAGTGCCTAACATAAATTCTGTTTTAGCTTTGTTGTAAGTGTGTTGTAGCAAGTTTATTTGTATAGCACAACTTACACACAAGACAATGCAAACTAATTAACAAAACTATAAAAGAAACACTAAAATGATCAATAATCACAGTAAGATAAAGAGTGAAGATTCAATCCTTCAGTTGTTGCAGCTAAACTGTTTCAGTCTGGATTTGAATGACTCGTATCAAGAGAGAAGCAAACAGTGATCCCAGTGTTTCCCACACATACAGTGGGGCAAAAAAGTATTTAGTCAGCCACCGATTGTGTAAGTTCTCCCACTTAAAATAATGACAGAGGTCTGTAATTTTCATCATAGGTACACTTCAACTAAATTATGGTGGAAAATAAGTATTTGGTCAATAACAAAAATTCAACTCAATACTTGGTAATATAACCTTTGTTGGCAATAACAGAGGTCAAACAATTACTATAGGTCTTTACCAGGTTTGAACACACAGTAGCTGGTATTTTGGCCCATTCCTCCATGCAGATCTTCTCGAGAGCAGTGAACACAGACTTTCAACTCCCTCAACAGATTGTCAATGGGGTTGAGGTCTGGAGACTGGCTCGGCCACTCCAGGACTTTCAAATGCTTCTTACGGAGTCACTCCTTCGTTGCCCGGGCGGGGTGTTTGGGATCATTGTCATGCTGGAAGACCCAGCCACGTTTCATCTTCAAAGCTGTCACTGATGGAAGGAGGTTTTGGCTCAAAATCTCACGATACCTGGCCCCATTCATTCTTTCCTTAACACGGATCAGTCGTCCTGTCCCCTTAGCAGAAAAACAGCCCCAAAGCATGACGTTTCCACCCCCATGCTGCACAGTAGGTTTGGTGTTCTTGGGATGCAACTCAGTATTCTTCTTCCTCCAAACACGACGAGTTGAGTTTATACCAAACAGTTGTACTTTGGTTTCATCTGACCACATGACATTCTCCCAATCCTCTGCTGTATCATCCATGTGCTCTCTGGCAAACTTCAGACGGGCCTGGACATGCACTGGCTTCAGCAGGGGGACACGTCTGGCACTGCAGGATTTGATTCCCTGTCGTCATAGTGTGTTACTGATGGTAACCTTTGTTACTTTGGTCCCAGCTCTCTGCTGGTCATTCACCAGGTCCCCCCGTGTGGTTCTGGGATATTTGATCACCGTTCTCATGATCATTTTGACCCCACGGGATGAGATCTTGCGTGGAGCCCCAGATCGAGGGAGATTATCAGTGGTCTTGTATGTCTTCCATTTTCTGATAATTGCTCCCACAGTTGATTTGTTCACACCAAGCTGCTTGCCTATTGTAGATTCACTCTTCCCAGTCTGGTGCAGGTCTACAATTCTTTTCCTGGTGTCCTTCGACAGCTCTTTGGTCTTGGCCATAGTGGAGTTTGGAGTCTGACTGTTTGAGGCTGTGGACAGGTGTCTTTTATACAGATGAGTTCAAACAGGTGCCATTAACCCTCTATGCCCATGGTTCATTTTGGGGAACTTTCCTCGCCTGGTTTTCTTTGTGTATAATTGTTCATAAAACAGTCATCTTTTGATGCAGAGTCAAGCAGTATACTTTGTTTTTTTCAGTACAACCTGGGGTTTTAGAATATTCATATTGTAAAGCTGTCATATGAATTATATAAAAATTGTGGAATCATGAAGACAAAGAAAAAAATCAAACGGAAAATCAATTTAACAAAAATGTATTGAAAAAACACAATGAAATGCTATAAACAACTTTTTACACTGCATAGAAATGTTATTTATGGACTTGGGGATAATGGGGAAAAAAATTGAATCTCTAACTATTATACCTTTTACAAAATTCCACTATAAAAGCAAAAAACTCTGTACTCCTGATGCCCTTCCTGAAGCAGTTTGTCTATAATGCTGGGGTTGCTTCTGTAGTACAGCTGTAAAAAACGTAAAACATAAGAAACTGAGCCAAAAAAAAAAAAAAACATCAATTATTTATATAATACTTATATTTATATACATCATATACACATAATGTCATTTTACTGTATTTATTATCGTCTTTATCAATAATGCGCACTCTTCAGCCGGTTATTGCAATCGCAGCTGTAGTTTCAACTGTGGGACAACAAGTACAGACAGAGGAGTGAGAGATCTCACTCTCTGACGATCTTTGGCAGTCCCCGTGTGTTTGTATCTCACAGCTGTTTGTACCTCACGGGTCACGCTTTGGACACGGACTTTCAGACAAACGTAGTTTATCCTACGTGCATCGCACAGACAAATCAAAACTAGTTTCGGAAAGCCCTGAATACGTACTTCACAGAGGGAAAAAAAGTAAGTTGCTACGTTTTACCGTTCGCGAGTAAATTGATCATTTGTAAAACATGTGCGCATGCATCGGCGCCGATGCACGCGGGCATATAGGGTTAATACAGGTAACGAGTGGAGGACAGAAGAGCTTCTTAAAGAAGAAGTTACAGGTCTGTGAGAGCCAGAGATCTCCCTTGTTTGAAGTGACCAAATACTTATTTTCCTCCATAATTTACAATAAATTCTTTAAAAAACCTACTATGTGAATTCCTGGATTTTTTTTCATTCTGTCTCTCACAGTTGAAGTGAACCTATAATGAATATTACAGACCTCTGTCATTTTTTTAAGTGGGAGCACTTGCACAATCGGTGGCTGACTAAATACTTTTTTTCCCCACTGTAGGCTTAAGTCGACAACCTGATTTAAAACGGCCGACTGTGTCAGTGTCAAAATTCATTCATACTTCATTCATACATTTCAGACTACCTCCCTGGCCCTAAAAAACGTCATGCTCCCATACAAAATATTTGAGCAAGACCGCGTTGAATCAGAGCAGAAACCATAGCGAAGCGAGTGCAGCTCATGGATCTATTATAATTTAACTGGATAGGGTATTACAGTGCCTTGCGAAAGTATTCGGCACATTTCAACATTTTGCCACATTTCAGTCTTCAAACATAAAGATATAAAATTTTAATTTTTTGTCATGAATCAACAACAAGTGGGACACAATCGTGAAGTGGAACGAAATTTATTGGATAATTTAAACTTTTAAATAAAATGAAAAACTGAAAAGTGCAATATTATTTGGCCCCTTTACTTTCAGTGCAGCAAACTCACTCCAGAAGTTCAGTGAGGATCTTTGAATGATCCAATGTTGTCCTAAATGACTGATGATGATAAATAGAATGCTCCTGTGTGTAACCAAGTCTCCGTATAAATGCACCTGCTCTTTGATAGTCTCAGGGTTCTGTTTAAAGCGCAGAGAGAACCATGAAGACAAAGGAACACACCAGGCAGGTCCGAGATACTGTTGTGGAGAACAGATGACTTCTGTTGTCACAACAGAAGTCATCTCAGAGGGCTATACAAGAATAAATTGTATTGTATTGTATTGTCACACTGCTAACATTTATTATGCTAAAGTTAGAGATGTTATACTTCTTATTATGCTCTTTTTAAGTGGGAGGACTTGCACAATTGGTGGCTGACTAAATACTTGTGGAGAAGTTTTTTATTTGTTAAAAAAGTTTAAATTATCCAACAAATTTCATTCCACTTCACGATTGTGTCCCACTTGTTGTTGATTCATGACAAAAAATTAATTTTTTATATCTTTATGTTTGAAGCCTGAAATGTGGCGAAATGTTGAAAGGTTCAAGGGGGCCGAATACTTTCGCAAGGCACTGTACTAGCTTGGATCTGAAGAACCCATGTGCTCACGGGATTCTCGAGGTACTGCAGGCTAAATCAGACTAAATTTGCGTCGGCTGCCCAGAAACTTTCCCCATAGAACTCAATGTAAACTAAAACAGCTCGACCTCAGCTGACAGAGAACCTACAGCTTTCATAAAGGTCAGATTATGTGGGAATTTTAGGGCACAGTCACATAGGATTTTACAAACGAACCAGGCCAAGTGGCCCGGATCGTCCCCACAGGGGTGTGAAGCACGGTCCGCGGTCACAAGGGCTTGTTCTTTTAACCGTGCCAGAGTAACTGTGCTGTAGTACAACGCTCGGTCCAGCTGGCGGTGCTAATACTAACTTCAGCAACTACCTCATTGTCAAGAGTTAAGTTTCCGATTGTCTTCCCGTTTACATTCTGCTACTGTGCGCTAACAGCTCGAGCATGGAATGTGTTCTTTGTATCAGAGCAATTTGTACAAGTGTGAGACGTGTATTTCTCCAAACTGCAGCAGCTCAGTGGGACACGTGTGTGCGTGCGCCGCGGACACGGGACTGCGCCTCTTTAGTAACGAGCGTAAGAGCATTGAGAAATAAATGAGTGAGAATGAAAGAATAAAAAGTGTTGAGTACGAGCAGAGCGACCTGAGCCAGGCAGGATACAAGTGTGTGTGTGTGTGTTAGGGCTGGGCAATATAAACGGTATAAGCGGTATGTGATAAAAATGTTACCAACGATAGAGATTTTTGTTATACCGGTGTCATCAAATTATGCAGGCTCTGACGGCAGCAGAAAGCACCAAAACAACCGGCATTCAGTAGCATTAGCCTAGCACTATTAGCCTAGCAGACACCGCTGGAAACGGCGAACAACAGCGCGGCATTAACACCGTGTCTCTGTATTGTGTCACAGCGGCCCCAGCAGAGGTAAATACACACACAGTTATCACAGTTTAAGCGTCTACCTTTCGGCCAATTAGTGCCAAAGGGGCGTATGTTGAAAAGCGCCAGCGTGGGTCGTGCTCGCAGCATCATCACAGTCAGCAGAAGTTTGGCTACACACCCCCCTCCGCCCCTCGACCACGGTCCGGGGCTTATATTAAAGGTTTAACACAAGCTGAGAATACGAAAGTGCAGAGACGTGTGAAAATGCCCGTCACAACGGAAGACGTACAGTAGTGTGACGCACAAGTCCCCACCACACCTTTTTATATAATATATATATATATTAAATTAATAAAATTATATAATTCACTATGTTGACGCCGATACTTTCACTCTTTCTTGACCACTGATCTGATCAGCCAGCATCAGCCCTGAATATTGTTCTGCTGCTTTGATCTGTACTTTTACTTGTGCCGATAATATTCCTCTCTCCATATATCGCCCGTGCTCCTCTGCTTGTGAAACTTTTATTCTAACATGTTGTTTTTGTGTGTGCAGATGAGCGGATCGGCGAGGCTGTGATCAGAGCGTAAGTACAGCTTCTGCGTCACGATCTTAGCTGTGTTTTATAATACCACAGATGGGGAAGTTTGCTTAACTGAAGCCCAGAGAAGACGACGATGATGATGATGATGCAGTAGTTTCACACGGCGCTTCTCAGGACGCTTCACATGTCACCTTTCATTCACTACATGAACACAGTGGTGTTAAAGTACTACTGTAGCCACAGCTGCCCTGGGCTACTGTAGTACACAGTGCAAAGTGTTAAGTCCTCTGAGATGACTTCTGTTGTCACAACAGAAGTCATCTCAGAGGGCTATACAAGAATAAATTGTATTGTATTGTATTGTCACACTGCTAACATTTATTATGCTAAAGTTAGAGATGTTATACTTCTTATTATGCTCTTTTTAAGTGGGAGGACTTGCACAATTGGTGGCTGACTAAATACTTGATAGGAATACATTATATTAAGAAGGCTTGTTTTTGAGTGAAAAACATGTGATCTTAGCCTGAAACCATAGAATGCATGAAACCCAGGAGACCATTGTTGATCTGTCTTGAAGTCTTACTGATAATTTACACAGGACGCGTTACAGCATGTACACGTTATACGCGCAGCAGACGCGCGTAACTTTTTTCCATGTAAGCCAACGGTGATATGTACACTACTAGTGTTATACTCACGGATGACGGACGTATTGACGCGAGGCTGCGCCTAATTAGGATGGATTTCTAATTTTGTGCGCGCAGCAACGCGTTTCCCATTGAAATCCCATGTAAATCATAATTTTTCTAGCGGTCCTTGGCTTTAGATCGCATCTACACACACACATCACTTGTATACCATATTCGAATTTCATTGTTTTATAAAATTAATATGTGAATATATATATATTCGAAAATGTATTATTTTGACCAGTAAATGCCAGTTTTGTCCACCAGAGGGCAGTGCATGCTGGTAATCAATTCTGTTTATGCTGTTACGCTGTTTACGTTTGACAGAATCGCTGTCAACCCATAGATCTCTCTGTCAATCCCAGTTAAATTAAGTGTTTATTTGGAGATCTTTAAGATACAAAATCAATCATACGAAAGAGAATCACAGAAATGAAAATTGTCCAAAAGGGAGTTGGGCCTACCCCTGTTACAAAACTGCCATTACCGATATAATGCTTATATCAACTCATTGAATGAGAAAGTGTATCCAAACTAATATATATATTTTATATATATATATATATAATTTTATTTATTTCAGAGTATCTGAAGCAAATTCACACAAAGATCATGCCAGTTTAATATTTGAACTTGAAGGGCTGTCTAAAACTTGTTTGAATGTCTTTATTGTTAATATTTGAATTATGTTCAAATATTGAATTCGGTTTACCCAGCCCCATTGTGTGTGCAGAGTGTTCGAGGAGGAGTTGAAGGACGTGCCCTCGGAGGATGTCCCGCCCCTCACCCCTCTGACCTCAGAGCTCCATTCGGCTCAGGAGCAGAAGATCGTGACGGAACTGGCAAAGATGATCCGCATTGTCGGGGACGGCATCGGGGACAACCGGCAGCTGAATGAGTGAGTGTGCCCCTGTCTCTCTGTGGGACCGGCCCCCGTCTCTCTGTGGGACCGGCCCACGAAGGGACGTGCCCTTGGCCAAATAAAGGCAATTCACCTAGCGGCTGCTGAACATGGACATCAACATGGTCCGGTGCGGGACTGAAGCCGTCTGCAGGTGTAGATGGAGGAGGCCAGGTTCAAAGGTCCCGTCGTACCATGAAACAGACAGTGGGACAACTGGTGAATAGCAATGAACAAACTACAGTCAAAATCCTAATAATGCTAAACAGATAAAGTAGGAAGGAGGAGAGGATAGTGCTCAAGTTACCATACTTCTCCAGCACTATGCAGCTTGACTGACAGTCTGAGGGGTTTAGCCTTCCCTGAGTCTTACCTTCGTAGCCATATGCTAAACTAAAGAGAACTGCTTTTGCCTAGCCTAGAACTTAGGGTTGAAGATGCAGCGGGCCGGGTCCCATACACGCAGACTCCAAGACCGGACGAAACCTGATCGGACAAACAACTTAACCAAATGCTAAGAGTATTTTAAGCCTGGCCTTAAACGTAGAGACCGTGTCTGCTTCCTTAACATGCGTGGGGAGCTGATTCCACACTAAAGGAGCTTGGTAACTTAATGCTCTGCCACCGACAGTGCTTTTTAAAACCTTAGGGACCACCAGTCGTCTGCCGTTTTGTGAGCGCAGTTTTTGGCTTGGTTGATAAGACATTAGCATGTCTTGAAGATTTATTTATCTGTTTATTCCAAAAACAGTGGAGTGATTTTAACACCAGAGTTATGTGCTCCCTCCTTTTGGTGCCTGTTAAGATCCTTGCTGTATATAGAATTTAAAATTTGACACAGTGGTTATAGGTACATTTCGAACTATATCTCATGGCAAACTTTGTGGTACCATTATTTTTATTAGGACAAAATTACAGTTTATATTGCAACAGGTTGGGTGTCTGCAACCATGCGGCATCTGTTTATTAATGTAAAACACAATGTATTTAGTGTTGATGACTCTGAATTTGGTCCATCCTTTATTACTGTTAGAAGTCATGATCGCCGTAGTAACGGGTTGATGGTCGGCTTGGTCAGGGCCGGAGCAGGAGGATTTTTTTCCTCATGTACCGGATTTTAGGGGTTGGGGAAACTGAAGGGAGGACATACTGTGTAGAAAACGGCCAGATTCCTAACGGCCAGATTCCTAATGCCCCAGATGTTCATAAAGAGAGTAGTGCGGGAAAAAATATTATTGGATTGTGGTCCAGAATCTGTGTACGTATTTTCTATCTGTTGTTGCAAGAGAGTTCCATGTTCAGCTTCTTGTATTGTGGGTTTGTCTGGGCAGCGTCTGACTGTGCTTTGTCCTCGTCACCTTCAGTGCAATCGATGGGACGGGGCGCACTCCTGGTTCCATACGGGACAGATTCCAGCAGGTGGTAGACAATCTTTTTCAGGATGGCATCACCTGGGGGCGCATTGCCGTGCTGTTCTACGTGGCGGGACGGCTGGCTTTCAAGGTAGGCCCCCCGCTGGGTTCATCTGTAAATCACACTATTCATTAAGCCTGGGGGGTTTTTTTTCTTCCTACATTTGTGAGTTTTTTTCTGGGTCAATATGCAGTTGTTTTATTGAACCAAGAACACTGATGTAGGAGGCGTGTGTGTGTGTGTGTGTGTGTGTGTGTGTGTGTGTGTGTGTGTGTGTGTGTGTGTGTGTGTGTGTGTGTGTGTGTGTGTGTGTGTGTGTGTGTGTGTGTGTGTGTGTGTGTGTGTGTGTGTGTGTGTGTGTGTGTGTGTGTGTGTGTGTGTGTGTGTGTAGCTTGTGCAGCGCCATCTTCCTGAGAGCGTGCGGCAGCTCCTGCAGTGGACCGTGGAATTTTTCAGGACCAACTTGCTGGGCTGGATCCGGGAGCACGGAGGATGGGTGTGTGTCTCCTCCTCTTAACGTTACGGTTGGGGTCAGGGTTAAGAGTCCAGCATTACTTACTTACTTACTTACGAAAGGTTAGCGGTGATCCTGGACTGTTCATTACGTGATATCAGATAGTGCCAGTTATTAATAAGATATTCATTTATTGGTTCCACAGTGGGGAGATTTCAGTGTCACATTACAGCAGAGAAAGAAGGGAAAAAAAGACTCGGACGCACACATCAAACAAGGCCTTTTATTTAAGATAATAGAATCAAAATGAGATGAGATGGTAAAATAGAATAAAAAAAAGAAGCTACAAGTGCACGTGGTTCAGAAGTATTTACAGATGCGTATAATGTACTTTAGCAGCAGAGAATATGAGCAGAATACACATCAGTAACAATATCAACAGGTCAAGTAATAAAGTTACAAGTGAATTATTATCAGTGACACTTGTGCAGACTCAGCAGTTCTCGTTACACATTCTCGTTGTACAGTCTGACAGCAGCAGGGAGGAAGGACCTGCGTAACCTGTCCGTCACACAGTGAGGGTGAATAAGTCGGTCACTGAAACTGAAACTTTTTAAAATTCTTCCCCCTTCTGTCATTGTCCTTATCCAAACATTACAAATATGAAAATAATAGATTAGATTTTGAGAAAGCTGGAGACAAATCACATTTGATGGTGGTTTTATTAAAATACTTTTTCATGCCACTGTATTTCTCACTACATGTGAGAAATGTGGCGGCACGGTGGCTGAGTGGATAGCACTCTCAGCAAGAAGGTCCTGGGTTCGAATCCCGGTCGGACCAGGGCCTTTCTGAGTGGAGTTTGCATGTTCTCCCCGTGTCTGCGTAGGTTTCCTCCGGGTACTCCGGTTTCCCCTACCACTAAAAATATGTCCAATAGTTCTGGCATGCGCCTCCTGTACTGGCCCCGCTCCCATCTCTGTGTGGAGTGAGAGACAAATGCCCAAAATTAACAATTGTAAACCGCTTTGAGACTCAGATCTGCAGTGAAAAGGCGGTATATAAATAAAAAAACTTACTTACTTACATGTGTGTGTGTGTCTCTTGTGTGTTGCAGATCAGCAGCTTCCCGGCGCTGGCGTCCGCCTCCATGCGCTCCGTGGGTTCCGTGGGCTGGGGGGGTGTCCTGATCTTCATTGCCGGTCTGGCTCTGGGCAGTCTGTTCACTGCCAGACTGCTGTCCCGGACTTGACCCCTGACCAGAGAGAGACCAGAGAGAGACCAGGAGGGGGACAAGAGAGAGACCAGAGAGAGACCAGAGAGAGACCAGGAGGGGGACAAGAGAGAGACCAGAGAGAGACCAGAGAAAGAGACCAGAGAGAGACCAGAGAGAGACCAGGAGGGGGACAAGAGAGAGACCAGAGAGAGACCAGAGAGAGACCAGGAGGGGGACAAGAGAGAGACCAGAGAGAGAGACCAGAGAGAGACCAGAGAGAGACCAGAGAGAGACCAGGAGGGGGACAAGAGAGAGACCAGAGAGAGACCAGAGAGAGACCAGAGAGAGACCAGGAGGGGGACAAGAGAGAGACCAGAGAGAGAGACCAGAGAGAGACCAGAGAGAGAGACCAGAGAGAGAGACCAGAGAGAGGCCAGGAGGGGGACAAGAGAGAGACCAGAGAGAGAGACCAGAGAGAGAGACCAGAGAGAGAGACCAGAGAGAGGCCAGGAGGGGGACAAGAGAGAGACCAGAGAGAGACCAGAGAGAGACCAGGAGGGGGACAAGAGAGAGACCAGAGAGAGAGACCAGAGAGAGAGACCAGAGAAAGAGACCAGTGAGAGAGACCAGTGAGAGAGACCAGTGAGAGAGACCAGAGAGAGAGACCAGAGAGAGAGACCAGAGAGAGACCAGAGAGAGAGACCAGAGATAGACGAGGAGTGAGACCCGGGAGGGGACCAGGAGCCAGTGCAGAGAGAGAGACCGCAGAGAGGGACCAGAGAGTCCAAAAATATCAGACAGAGATCAGAGAGGAACCAAGAAAGGGACCAGAGAGACCGAAGTGAGACCAGGCGTGAGACCAAGAGTGAGACCAGAGAGAGAATAGAGAGAGACCAAGAGTGAGACCAGAGAGAGACCAGAGAGAGAACAGAGAGAGACGAGGAGTAAGACCAGGGAAGGGACCAGTAGCTGGTGCAGAGAGACACCAGAGAGTTCAAAGACACCAGACCAGATCAGAGAGGACCCAAGAGAAGACCCAGAGTGGGACCAAAGAGGGACCAGAGAGAGACCAAAGAGAGACCAGGAGAGGGACCAGAGAGAGACCAGGAGTGATACCAGAGAGAGACAGGCCAGGAGTGAAACCAGGAGTGAGACCAGGGAGAGACCAAAGAGAGGCCAGGAGAGGGACCAGAGAGATAGACCAGTAGTGATATCAGAGAGACCAGGAGAGAGATCAGAAAGAGACCAGAGAGAGACCAGGAGTGAGACCAGGAGAGAGACCAGAGAGAGACCAGAGAGAGACCAGAGGGGGACCAAGAGAGAGACCAGAGAGAGACCAGAGAGAGACCAGAGACCAAAGAGAGGCTAGAGATATAAACTTAGGAATATCACAATAACTTCAAACTAAATACTGTATAAAGCTGATGACTTCGGAGCCTCGTCTTTCACTTTCACTTTACATACATTCCACACTATACTGCAGAAGTACCATATGGATGTGTGTTGCTTTTCTACAACATATACACATTATTGACATAATCATCCAACATTTTCATTGATAACTTAGTGCTGCTTTTCATTACACCTGCAGAAAACATCATAAATAACACACAACAAGCAAAAATAATGTTAAATGCATGTACCTCCTTTACCACAGATGATGCTCACAGCGCTGGGGAGACCACACTAAGCTTCGCGCAGAAACCTGAAAATATTTAATTTAAAATAAGTGTTGGTAAAGTGTGTAACGTGTTCAGTTCATCGGGTCCGTGTGGCTGTATTGATAAGGACAGGTTAATGCATGATGGCGCAATAAAGGCTTTAAAGAGATGTAGCCCATCGCCTTTCCGGTGTGATGCTAACGATGCTAACATGCTAATGATGCTAACATGCTAATGATGCTAACGTGCTAACATGCTAATGATGCTAACGTGCTAACGGTGCTAACATGCTAATGATGCTAACGTGCTAACATGCTAATGATGCTAACGTGCTAACGGTGCTAACAACATGCTAATGATGCTAACGTGCTAACGGTGCTAACATGCTAACAACAACACACAGCGCAGTGAGTGGTGCCCCTGCTGTACAGAACGGATATGTGTGTTACCATGGTAACACAAAACAGATTATCCAGTTTTTTTTATCTATCACATGTTATGAATGGTTTAAAAAAATAAAATAAATTACCAAAGGAATTAACGAGATAAAATTAAGACAATATAATACTGATATGTGAAATTAAATGGGTACAATAAAAAAAAAAAATTAAAGAATGAAATAACAGTGTAAAGTATAATTATTTCACCATCCATACATTTTCTTACGCTTTATCCATTGCCGGTTCACAGACAAAGCTAAAGAGACATAAGCCCACTTCCACCAGCAATACTTGGCCCTACTCTATACTCTTCTCGTTTCTCCTGTTTGTGTTTCCATTACGTTTTAGTATCTGGTACTATATCCTACAACCTAACCACAACAAATAAGAATCCAGGGAAATTCCTTGGTAACCATGGCTTCCAGTAGAACTCTTTAGTTCCAGCTCGGCCTCCATGGACCAAGAACCAGGACCAAGAGGGACTAAAGAAGGACCTGTTACTGGTTATGCAGGACCAGAGGAAAGACTCAGGGGAGAGGAGGGGAGAGGAGAGGAGAGGAGAGGAGAGGAGAGGAGAGGAGAGGAGTGGAGAGGAGAGGAGAGGAGAGGAGAGAGGAGAGGAGAAGAGAGGAGGGGAGAGGAGAGGAGGGGAGAGGAGAAGAGAGAAGAGGAGATGAGAGGAGAGGAGAGAAGGGGAGAGGAGAAGAGAGAAGAGGAGAAGAGTGGAGAAGAGAGGAGGGGAGAGGAGAGAGGAGAGGAGAAGAGAGGAGGGGAGAGGAGAGGAGAAGAGAGAAGAGGAGAGAAGGGGAGAGGAGAAGAGAGAAGAGGAGACGAGAGGAGAGGAGAGAAGGGGAGAGGAGAAGAGAGGAGAGGAGGGGAGAGGAGAAGAGAGAAGAGGAGACGAGAGGAGAGGAGAGAAGGGGAGAGGAGAAGAGAGGAGAGGAGGGGAGAGGAGAAGAGAGGAGAGGAGATGAGAGGAGAAGAGAGGAGAGGAGATGAGAGGAGAAGAGAGGAGAGGAGAAGAGAGAAGGGGAGAGGAGAAGAGAGGAGAGGAGGGGAGAGGAGAAGAGAGGAGAGGAGAGGAGAGATGAGAGGAGAGGAGATGAGAGGAGAAGAGAGAAGCGGAGAGGAGAGGAGGGGAGAGAAGAGAGGAGAGGAGGGGAGAGGAGAGGAGAAGAGGAGAAGAGAGGAGAAGAGAGAAGGGGAGAGGAGAAGAGAGGAGAGGAGGGGAGAGGAGAAGAGAGGAGAGGAGATGAGAGGAGAAGAGAGAGAGGAGAGGAGGGGAGAAGAGAGGAGAGGAGAGAGGAGAGATGAGAGGAGAGGAGATGAGAGGAGAAGAGAGAAGGGGAGAGGAGAGGAGGGGAGAGGAGAAGAGAGGAGAGGAGAAGAGAAGAGAGGAGAGGAGAGGAGAGGAGAGGAGAGGAGGGGAGGGGAGAAGAGAGGAGAGGAGGGGAGAGGAGAAGAGAGGAGAGGAGATGAGAGGAGAAGAGAGAGAGGAGAGGAGGGGAGAAGAGAGGAGAGGAGAGGAGAGGAGAGAGGAGAGATGAGAGGAGAGGAGATGAGAGGAGAAGAGAGAAGGGGAGAGGAGAGGAGGGGAGAGGAGAAGAGAGGAGAGGAGAAGAGAAGAGAGGAGAGGAGAGGAGAGGAGGGGAGGGGAGAAGAGAGGAGAGGAGAGAGAGGAGGGGAGAGGAGAGAGAGGAGGGGAGAGGAGAAGAGAGGAGAGGAGAGGAGAGGAGAGGAGAGGAGAGAGGAGAGGAGAGGAGGGAGAGAGATGAGAGGAGAGGAGAGAGGAGGGAGAGAGGAGAGGAGAGGAGAGAGAGGAGAGGAGAGGAGAGAGAGGAGAGGAGAGGAGAGGAGGGGAGGGGAGAAGAGAGAGAGGAGAGGAGGGGAGAGGAGAGGAGAGGAGAGGAGAGGAGGGGAGGGGAGAGGAGAGATGAGAGGAGAGAGAGAGGAGAGGAGAGGAGAGGAGGGGAGAAGAGAGGAGGGGAGAGGAGAAGAGAGGAGAGGAGAAGAGAGAGAGGAGAGGAGGGGAGAAGAGAGGAGAGGAGAGGAGAGGAGAGAGGAGAGGAGAGATGAGAGGAGAGGAGATGAGAGGAGAAGAGAGAAGGGGAGAGGAGAGGAGGGGAGAGGAGAAGAGAGGAGAGATGAGAGGAGAGGAGATGAGAGGAGAAGAGAGAAGGGGAGAGGAGAGGAGGGGAGAGGAGAAGAGAGGAGAGGAGAGGAGAGAGGAGAGGAGAGGAGAGGAGGGGAGGGGAGAAGAGAGGGGAGGAGAGAGAGGAGGGGAGAGGAGAGAGAGGAGGGGGGAGAGGAGAGAGAGAGGAGAGGAGAGAGGAGAGGAGAGGAGAGGAGAGGAGAGGAGAGGAGGGGAGAGGAGGAGAGGAGGGAGAGAGAGATGAGAGGAGAGGAGAGAGGGAGGGAGAGAGGAGAGGAGAGGAGAGAGAGGAGAGGGAGAGATGAGAGGAGAGAGGAGAGGAGAGGAGGAGAGGAGGGAGAGAGAGAGAGAGGAGAGGAGAGAGGAGGGAGAGAGAGAGAGGAGAGGAGAGAGAGGAGAGGAGGGGAGAGGAGAGGAGAGGAGAGGAGAGAGAGGAGAGGAGAGGAGAGGAGAGGAGGGGAGGGGAGAAGAGAGAGAGGAGGAGAGGAGAGGAGAGGAGAGGAGGGAGAGGGAGAGGAGAGATGAGAGGAGAAGAGAGGAGAGGAGAGAGAGGAGAGGAGGGGAGGGGAGAGAGAGGAGGGGGAGAGAGAGGAGAGAGGAGGAGAGAGGAGAGAGAGAGAGGAGGGAGAGAGATGAGAGGAGGGGAGGAGGGAGAGAGGAGAGAGGAGGGGAGAGGAGAGGAGAGAGAGGAGGAGGGAGGGGAGGGGAGGGGAGGGGAGGGGAGAGGAGAGGAGGGGAGGGGAGAGGAGAGAGGAGGGGAGAGGGAGAGGAGGGGAGGGGAGAGGAGGGGAGGGGAGAGGAGAGGAGAGGAGAGGAGAGAGGAGGGAGAGAGAGAGAGAGGAGAGGAGGGAGAAGAGAGGAGAGAGAGGAGGGAGAGGAGAGGAGAGGAGGAGAGAGAGGAGGGGAGGGAGGGGAGGGGAGGGGAGAGGAGAGGGAGAGGAGGGGAGGGGAGAGGAGAGGAGAGATGAGAGGAGAGGAGGGGAGAGGAGAGGAGAGGAGAGGAGAGGGAGGGGAGGAGGAGAGATGAGAGGAGAGGAGGAGAGGAGAGGAGAGAGGAGAGGAGGGGAGGAGGAGAGAGAGAGAGGAGAGAGGAGAGGAGAGGAGGAGGAGGAGAGGAGATGAGAGGAGAGAGGAGAGGAGAGGGAGGGGAGAGGAGAGGAGAGGGAGAGAGGAGAGGGAGGGGAGGAGGAGAGGAGGGAGAGAGGAGAGGAGAGAGAGGAGAGGAGAGGAGAGGAGAGGAGAGGGAGGGGAGAGGAGAGGAGAGGGGAGGGAGGGAGAGGAGAGGGAGGGGGGAGAGGGGAGAGGAGAGGGAGGGAGAGGAGAGAGAGGAGAGGAGAGAGGAGAGAGAGAGGGGAGGGGAGAGGAGGGAGGGGAGGGAGAGGAGAGGGAGGGGAGAGGAGGAGAGGAGGGGAGAGGAGGGAGAGAGGGAGAGGAGAGGGAGGGGAGGGGAGGGAGAGAGAGAGAGAGAGGAGAGGAGAGGAGGGGAGAGGAGAGATGAGAGGAGAGGAGGGGAGAAGAGAGGAGGGGAGAGGAGAGGAGGGAGAGAGAGGAGAGGAGGGGAGAGGAGGAGAGGAGAGGAGGGAGAGGAGAGAGGGAGAGGAGAGGAGGGGAGAGGAGAGGGGAGGGGAGAGGAGAGAGAGGAGAGAGGGGAGAGGAGAGGAGAGGAGGGGAGGGGAGGAGAGGAGAGAGAGGAGGGGAGAGGAGAGGAGAGGAGGGGAGAGGAGAGGAGAGAGGAGAGGAGGGGAGAAGAGAGGAGAGGAGGGGAGGGGAGAGGAGAGGAGAGGAGAGGAGAGGAGAGGGGAGAGGAGAGGAGGAGGAGGGGAGAGGAGAGGAGGGGAGAAGAGAGGAGAGGAGAGAGAGGAGAGGAGGGGAGAGGAGAGGAGAGGAGAGGAGAGGAGAGGGAGGGGAGAGAGAGAGGAGAGGAGAGGAGGGGAGAGGAGGGGAGAGGAGAGAGGGAGGGGAGGGGAGAGGAGAGAGAGAGGGAGGAGGGAGAGGGGAGAGGAGAGGAGAGGGAGGAGGAGGGGAGAGGAGAGGAGAGGAGGGAGAGGAGAGGGGGAGGGGGGGAGGGGAGGGGGAGGGGGGAGGGGGGGAGGGGGGAGGGGGGAGGGAGGGGGGGGGAGGGGAGGGGGGGAGGGGGGGGGGAGGGGGAGGGGGGGAGGGGGGGAGGGGGGGGAGGGGGAGGGGAGGGGGGGAGGGGAGGGGGGGGGGAGGGGAGGGGAGGGGGGGGAGGGGGAGGGGAGGGGAGGGGGGAGGGGGGGGAGGGGAGGGGAGGGAGGGGGGAGGGGAGGGGGGAGGGGGAGGGGGAGGGGGGGGAGGGGGAGGGGGGAGGGGGGGGGAGGGGAGGGGGGGGAGGGGAGGGGGGGGGGGGAGAGGGGGGGAGGGGGGGGGGGGGAGAGGAGGGGGAGGAGGGGAGGGCGAGGGGAGAGGAGAGGAGGGGAGGGGAGAGGAGAGGAGGAGGGGAGGGGAGAGGAGAGATGAGAGGAGGAGGAGGGGAGAGAGAGGAGAGGAGAGAGAGGGAGGAGGGGGAGAGGAGAGGAGAGGGGAGGAGGGGAGGGGAGAGAGAGAGGAGAGGAGGAGAGGAGGGGGAGAGGAGAGGAGAGGAGGGGAGGGAGGAGAGGTGGAGGAGGGGAGGGGAGAAGAGGAGGAGAGGAGAGAGAGGAGAGGAGGGGAGAGGAGGGGAGGGGAGAGGAGAGGAGAGGAGGAGAGGAGGGGAGGGGGGAGGGAGAGGAGAGAGAGGAGGGAGAGAGGAGGGGAGAGGAGGGGGAGGTGAGAGAGGAGGGGAGGGGAGGAGGAGAGTTGAGAGGAGAGGAGGGG